GCTTGTGCATTCACGACTTGCCGGAAGAATTGGTGACGTGGGTTTTTGACGAGTGTTCGTAATTCTTTGTTTCCCATGGAGAGGAAAAAAAACTCAGAGTTTAGTAAATGTAAGTCTATCAGTTACACCGATTACCGGAAAGAAGCGCGCGTGAAAGCACACACGCATGCACAGACACACACACATTTACTTTTGATAAGGCGACGTCGGCATCAAATAATCAAAATATTTGCACACGTACGAATCGATTAGCTTCAAGTTTAATTTCTTCACTCTCTATAGGCATGGTTAGATTGACGATCCTGGTGTGTACAATTTATGTTGAAAATAGGCATTTATTATCTAATTAGTAGCTTTGCGAAAAGCCGCGAAAGGACATTCCCAGGAGTACGTCTTTCCATAAGAAGCTCGTAATTAATTATTTCGAGTTGGAAGTCCGCTGAGCGCGCGAAAGTCAAATAGTTTTGCTGCGTGCAGTTACCGTGTGATATGTCCAAAAATGGAAAGACTGAAGAAAACCAGTCTTCTTCGCCGTCGTCGTGATGCCTTGCTATAATTTATACTAGAATCTTCTTCACGTATTTTACGTATTTGGTGCAGTGATCGATATTATATGACTGATGAAATTGTTTCTTTTATGGGAAAAGGCGAATATATTAAGGTCGATTGTTAGCAATAAACAATTTTTGAAATTAACGTAAAATCAAGGCTATGAGAATGGAGTTTTCTATGTTTTTATCGGTAATTAACAACGTTTAAAATAATTGGATAGAAATGATTGTGTGTGTGTGTGTCTAGAAAAATCATTTAACGTGTCAAGGATAATAATATAGTTTTACTTTTCATTTTTATTTATTTTCATTTTATTTTTAAGCATATTAAGAAATATATCTCATCTTTGTTGCAATTACATCTTCCAACTTTTATTCTAACAAGATTTTGAAGATAGATGTATTCCTGGATGAAAATTTTAGAATATCAAAAGACGGGATAATAAGTTTATATATAATAAAGCATTTCATTTCTTGGGTTGTATTACTCAATCGAAACCATATCAAACTTTTTAAAGAAATATCGTAAAGCTCAATTACAATTAAAAGACGTTTTCATAAATTTCCCAATGACAAATTCACAAAACAGACAAACAACGTCGGTTAATAGCTTCATAAGTAAGCCTACAAACATAAAGAGTAGTCCCATGTAATGAAAACACAATTAATTTCTCGGAATACATATAAAATCTATTGAATCGAGCGACTTTCTCTCTCGCGAAACAAAAGATGATGTTATCTTAAGGCGCGTACGCGCTTTTACCTAATAGCTGCCAATGACGAGCCTTTGTTTTCTTTTATATACGGGCTTGTATACACGTTTAGTGTCATCAAGTATAAATATATGTGTACACATACATACACGAGACGCGCACGAAAGAAAGCCGAGGAGTCTGTAAAAAGTGACAGCATTATGTGCTCGCGCTCGCGCGTCGGAGAGGCTTTGCAATTTTGCTCACGTGAGGCAACCGCCAATTATTGTTTTGATCGACTGCCTCCAGACGCGCGTAGGAAATGCCATATACGTGCGCGAAAAGAGATAGAGAACCAAATTGAAATTAGACGATTCCTCCCTCCCCCTCGTTCCAGCATAATAAGGATGCAGATTTGGCGAAAAGCTTACGTAAAAGTCAATGAGAGGTTATGCTTTTGCGGTTTGCTACGTGCATTTTTTGTGCGGCTTCAAGATTTTTATTTTTTCAGTCTGTCTAGGATAATGTTCGTCTTGGCGAATTTCTCACGACCAATGCTTGCCCATGTGAAGAGAGGGAGTACAGATAGTTCAGATCCGAATCTTTATTAAAAAAAATTGAACGTTCATTAAAATTAAATGACCTGATGAAAAAGAAACTTGTGATTTAGTCAGAATGCGACAGACAGTTTGTTTTGGACCGGACATTAAAAAGAATAAAAGCGTATCGCATAAATTAATGGGCAGGGGGAGGGGGGCATCCGATTTTTCGGATAAGGTCGTATGCAAGAAAAAGTAAAAGTAAATGGCTATACATCTCCCTCTTTACATAATTAAGTAACCTCTTCTGAAAATAAATATCGAAAGTAAAATTCTCGTTTTCATACATTTTTATTCCAATGTAAACCTTTTACGTACATATCCTACCAAAAAACACATATAAATCGACACGCCCGGTTAGTTATCATGCAAGCAGCGTTCGTACAAGTTTGCACATTGAATTCCGAAGGTTTTTTTTTATATAACTCGCGTCTTGTAGTTTTGGGAGTATACTTCGCCTCTGCTCAAATTCACTTTTACTCTTCTCCTCGAATAAAATTAAGCCGCGTGGGCAGCAGCCGCCAATTTCTCGTATACGAGCCTACCGTATACCATAAAGCACCTGCATGTATATTCGCCGAGAAGCCTCGAGGTGTTTCTCTCATCCACTTTTTTCTTCTTCGAACTTGATAGATTGACGAGTTGATCTCGTTCTCTTTCTCGAACGGCGGCAACTGAAGCAAGTAAATTTTGATATTCTCTCTCGGGAGCTTTCGATTGTGGAAGCGCATCGCTTATATAAGTCGCGAATTGGAATCGTGATTCGAGGCGACTGTTTTTTATGGCAGATTTTTTCGGGCTGTGCGAAATATGCGCACAAAGGTATGAGGTAACGGATTTTTCGCGTCTGTATAACTGTCAATAGATTTCCATTCGCACTTTTACCTCAAAGAAAAGCACACACATTTTATTATTCCGCGTATTTTACGATCAAAAATATGTTCGCAGATGTATACACATTTGAAACGGGAATTGAAATCGTGATCGCCTCGAGCCCCTTGTGTATATTTTTCGGCGTGCGTCTCTTCTTGTTCGCGTGACGGTCTTTTTCGAACGCTGACTTATTTTACAAAACGTTCTGGCTTAAAGCGATAATTACTTTTATAATAAGTCATAAACGCTCGCCTTTGTTGTGGGTGCTATTACGCAATATGTGTATTATGGTGTGTGTATGCGCATTGTAGATGAAAATGATAATAATTCTATAGCATTTATTGCCAGGCGTTTAATTACAATCGAATTCCCGATTGAAGTTTTTCATTATGAAATTTCATTCAGAGTTATAGAAGCTATTCGCCTCGTAGACAAAGTTCAATTAATAATCGATCATACTAATTTACTTCCTGAATATTTTTAGCAAACTATAACCAAGGTTTATTTATTTCTTGTTTTCTCGTGATGTAAATCAAAACGTACGTCGTGAAATATAAATTAGATTTTTGAGATTTATTACTAAGCTTGAAGAAATGAAGATAAGTGCGCCTTTTATTTTCTGTAATCTGAACGTTGACACTTTTACAATTGCATAGTAAAAATTTCATTCAATACACTGATTGATTTTTATTTAATAAATCATTTACGGCATCATATTGATTGACCATGTCTCTTCGCAAGCATAGCACAAAAGGAACCGTCAAACCCCACATGTTCTGTATTCGATTACAACGTCTCGACATCGCCTCTGATTTATGATTACCATACAATATCTTAGTCCAAGTCTACCGAAAAAAACGAGACCAAGAAAAAGTCAGAGAAAGACAGAGATGGAAGAACAACATGACAGAAGCATTACACACCTTTGGAGTGGGCGGCGAGCGTCGACATCGCTGAATAATACATAAGTAGCGATTGTTTTTTGGCGCTTGGTGCACTGAAACTGAGACGTTCTTATGAGGAAAATTTCCAAAAGAGTATTAAATAAGAGAGACGAAACTTTAGCGCGAATTCAGGATTTGTTAGATTTTGCACAATGTATTTTTTTCGTACTCCGTATGTTTCGCAACTTGACTATAGAATTGGGTTTATCAGATGGCCCCGTAGGCCTTTTTTTTAGTTCGTTCGTCGAGCGATTATGATTGAATATATTGTGGATACTTCTACTTCTGCGAGGATTTAGGACAAGATTTGCGATTATACTTTTTTTTAATGGATTAATCGCAGTGCTGCTGTTCCTTTGTAGTTGCTGGAAACAATTTGAATTCTTCGAAGTACGATATCATCACCGATTCGAAATATCAATGCTTAGCTTTAGGAAAATATTGAGTGACGTATTCTCACGATTAAACTACTGTTTTTTCATTGAGTGTGATAATTTTCACGACGTAGAATTTTGCAGTGATTCTTCATGAGAATGGAATGATAGTAAACTGGCTTGCTAACTCGAATGAGAAATGTGGAATTAATTAACAGTTGATAATAACCCACGGAACAGTCGCATTCCAGACTTTTTCCGTGAAAAACGATGATTGCACAAGACATAACAATTTTTCTACTAATTTGTCAACTGTCAGCACTAATAAGAAGCAAAATGAAATGGTGGCATGCCATGGGCGACATTTGCATGCAAACAACCTTAGATATCATAAGACAGATATTATAGAACTCATAGTTGTTCCGTTTTTGTAAGTGTGCGTTTGAAAAACCGCACGACTTCGGGATCTAGTCTAGACAAGAAAATCGGGCTTTGAGAGTTTTGTTTGAGTTTTGATTGATTGGCTGACGTACATCGTGCAGCACCTAAGAAAGAAAAAGAGAGAAAGAGACGTTTGTGAGGCAATAACTCGTTTTTAATAGGGCCGAGTTGGAGGCTACATTTTTATCGGCATCAATTTATTTAGTTATTTCATCGATCTCAAATATTTTATTTTTCTCTCCACTCTCTCTCTCTCTCTCTCTCTCTCTCTCTCTCTCTCTCTCTCTCTCTCTCTCTCTCTCTCGACAAAAGTTAAAGGAAAAAACGTCGCGTGTGAATCGTGAGAGAAAAATGTCCTGAATAAAGGTTTTAGATGTTATAGATCGCGGTAAGTAAAGCGAGAGTATTTCCATGTAACATGTAATTCCCGCAAGTTGAATACAACGATTATTTGCAAATTTAGTACGCCGAGGGAATAATGAAGGAAGTTATTCGAAATAATTTTATTTACACACAGGAGTAGCGATACATAAAATCAAAATACCATTTTTATTATTCGTTAAGAGTCATGTTAACGGAATACTTTTCTTTATGCCGTTTCTTTACACAAATAATACAACTGACAACGTTTTATACGCCGTCGTCTTCACAATGTTATCTTTCTCGTCGTCGGCTTGGCTATTAAAATTCCAGTTGAGCCAGACATAGGCAATGCTTGGTTAAAACATTTCAACGTCGAATTACAATGCCTTATATTTACATGTATTTTTTTCGTACGCAGCACGCACAATTAACGTGTTGTAGCGTGCGAGCTAGCGCATGAAATGGTAGTACACACAATGGGAACGTAAAACGTCTTAATGGCTTGACGACACAGCGTAATAAATATACAAAACTATACATTCTTTGATACAAACAAAGATTCACTGCACTCGCGCAAGTTTAGCCTCCATCTTTTATATTTTATCAAAGTCTTTGGCAATGCAAGGCGAATTTTTCTCCCCTAAAACTTCTCGACGATTATATTGGAAGCCCACACGTCTATTGTAAATGTGGGTGATCGCATCTCGTTATCGGTAGGCGTTTGGATTGTCTTGCAGGTACTTCCCGATCTCTTTGCCAAGGTCACGTCGGAACTCAACCACGGTTTTCCGAGATTCCTGCAAAAATACATTTCGTTAATAAATATGAAAATTTTACAATTATTATGCGTTAAGAAGGTTTGATCTTAAGAATTTTATTATGTACAATTATCAATTTCATAATTTTTTTCATATGATATTTCACCTATAAAGAAATTATCTAACAAGCATACATTTTCCAAACGTAATGTTATCCCTCAAACTGTTGATTTAATACGTTCACAGAGCATCGCGATGTAAGTGTGATCGTCAGCAAGTCACGATATCGCGAAATCCTTAAATCTAAAAAATTAACTAATTACGTAACGTGATATCGTATAAGTGAGAATTGTTACACGATTAAATGATGATGTGGATTACGAGGAAGGGAAGATATCGGAGTATATGCGCGATTAAGAACGAAAAGTGCAATTGCAGTCTAAAACTTTACGTAATGCCAAAATTACTTTTCACAACGGGATGAAATTAATCGAAGAAATCGCTGCATTGCAACATCAGTCAGCAATTATCATGCTATATCAGGCTTCATCCTCGAGCAGATGAAATATTTGGATTTAACCGGTCAAACTTATATCGCTTTCGGTAATTTCCACGAATTGAAAACGCATCTCATTGCGTACATCTCATATGTTAGATTGAGGAATTATAGTTTAGATTATTCTAACTTTATATGAATGCTCGTATTTATGTTTCACTTACTAACTTTTTACAAGAAAGGAATCAAATTCTTACGTTCATAGCATCCTTCCACTCGATGTTAAACAATCTAACTAAACCCTTAACATTTCGCCTAAGAATACTCTGAAGTAGAGGCCTCGTCAATTTAAATTCTTCAGTCGTAGTCGTTGGTGCAAGTGTCGTTGCGTTGATACCTGCACTCGCAGTCTCGTCAGCTTTCAAATTAGCTGACGACGACTTGGGCGGCACTGTCGGCTTCTTCGTCTTTTTTGGCTGCTCGGCTGGGATGGCCTCATTAACTATCTGACTTATCTGTTGGATTGCCGAACGCGTATCATTGAAAGTCTGTAATAGAGAAAAATCTCATTAAATTTTTTGTTCACGTAAATCACCTTCGCGTTATACAATGCGAATAATATCATTCCAGCGTAAAGCTTTATCTACATAAATTCTATTTGTCACTTAGGAAACACAATGATCCTATCTATAGCATAGAAGTTCACACCCAGCATAAGCGCATAGCGCTCGCTCCAGATGCATTAGCTCGAGAGCGCGCAATAAAAGCGAAAAGACGTTATGAAACCGCGAAGAGACTGCACAGAGCGTTAAACTTTGTGGAAACGAGCATTTCTGTCAAGGTCTCCGGAAGAAAAGAGACGCGCAATATTAACAATAAGTGAGCTATTAGCATGGTGCAAAGTTATAATTAACGATTATAAACAGGTCAAGTTACGTGATTGCTTTCAATAGGCAAGAAGACGTTGTTGGCTTGCTTTTACCGGATACAACTGACTTTGCCGGTAATTTTTAGCGCCGAGTTACAAGCCACTGTAGTGTACATTCTAGTGCCGTGATGAAGGCAACCTTACATACGCGGTGAGTGACGTTGTGAGCAGTTTTCAAGCGTTTCAATGATATACAAGTTGGTGAGAGCTTAGACCTCTTTGTTATTTAACTCGATTGCATACTTTGTTAACACATACGCAAGCAATGCTATTGTGAATTTTTAAATAAGCGTCAAATTGAAAAATCATCTAGGTTACGTACGTCAGAAATTTGATTTGCAAAAGATAATATTTGACTTACGGCTCATGGAAGATAATAATGCGCGCATATATGGCAAAGCATTGAGTTTTGTAATTTTTTCGATATTGTCTGTAGAAAAAATATTCAACCGACAAAAGAAGTCATGTATTACTAAGATTTCGAAGGCCAATTGGATTGCAAAATATAATAATAACTCTCCGTTTCATTTACAGCGAGCAATATATACAATTTTCTGTCAGTTCAGACTTTTAACATTTGTCTGTGTGTTCACGTGTTGCTATCAGTAGTACTTCTACTGAAAGCAAACGAAATTTTTTATTTTTTATAAAATTATTTTTAAAGAAATTAAAATACCCCTGAATGGAACATACACACACACACACACACACACACACACACACACACACACACACACACACAAGTTTTTATTTTTATTTACTATTTCAGTCCTGACAATTTGATGTAGCAGAATTAAAAGTCTTCGTTTTATTTCTGTCCTGTCTGACTAAACTGGATCTAATCTACTTAAAATCCAACAAAGTGTATTCTGAGCTTTGAAACATTCTCATTAAATGATGTAGATCAAAATTATATTGTGGGCCCTACTATCTGTTAGATTTATCTGTATAATTGACAGTCCGATATGTAATCAAATTTCATAAATCATTATTTTGCAACACATTTTCACCCAGCGAAATCGAAACTCGTCCCGAAGGTCCAATAACGACGTATCAAAGACGAAAAATATCTCAAAGAAACAAGTTTTAACGCATCTCTCATCGACTTCGGCAGTAGCTGTCACATGCATGTGCAAAAAAAGAGTCAGTCCATTCACTTTATGAAGCTTACGCAAGCATGTATCGATCTGCGATAAAAATGTTAATTTCAGAGCAGCGATAAATTCTTATACAGAGACTCGAACGAAAGCAAGAGCAGCTTCGTTTCTGATCTGCTTTCGTTTGCTTTTTTCGCATCACCAACTCTTTAAATTTCAATTGGCTACAACACGCACTTGTATATGTCGTTTTTTTCTTGCATCGGGGAGTTATCTTATGTCACTTTGACAGGCGATTTCGGTTACTTCATGATGTCTACGTTCTGCAGTTTTTCTTTATTAGTTCGATTTAATTAAAAACACTTGACTGCTTTATCGGTGCAATTAATTTTTATTTAAGAGAAGTTTCGCATCTATTAATTAAATTCTGTGAATTGAAAAATAACCTTTCAAAAATAAAAACAGCAGTTACGCATCAAGTAACACAACAATAGCTAAAGCAAACCTCCTTAATCATCATTGAATCAATTAGCGCTCACGTAACATGTGAAGTCTACACACTAGCTTATAAAAACATATTGAAAAGTACTAAATTTAGTCACCTTTCAACAAGTCTCGCTCTCATACCTTTTAAATTTCTTTGTGGTTTGAAAGAAAAAACATTCGAGCTTCTGTATGGTCGAGTGTTACTTCATCGGCTATTCGCATAAATTCACATACTAATATTACGTATAAATTAAAGAATGAGTGTTATACAACCAGCTTTCTTTTTTAGAGATTCCTAATACGAGCTGATGCGTGGTTATTGGGAATAATGAGGATTAAGTGTTGCGAAGAAAACATAGCAGAGAAACTTGATTTGCTAATATCCGTTTGTCGTTGCATTATGAGTCTTAATTACACCAATAGCAAAAATAAATTTAAAATTAAAATGTGTTTTAAAATTCTATTTTGTCTGTTGACTATATTTAAGAACAGGTGGAGGACTGATTATTCATAACCCATATAACTTCACTTCAAATTATGTAAGTTCAATATCTAGGTCAATCCAATAATTCTTTTTACTGAGCAAAATGACGCTTTCTACTAATTGCTGACATTAAAACTCTATAATAACACGTAGTAATTATTGTCTTGGCAACATTTTACTGTATTGAAATCGCCAACTGTCGCTTAATTTTACTATAATAAATGAAAAATAAATATTATAAAACCTTTCTATCTTCAAATGTATTCGTAAAATTAACTAAAAATTGGTGCCACAATCTTTTCCAGACAACTTTTCCTTATTACATTTCTATATACTATTCGATTTTTTTATATTGCACGGAAATTCAATCCTTATAAGTTTCGACCTTTATGAAAACCTTCCCCTTCCACTCTCCCCAAACAAAGAAAAAAAAATTTCACACGCACCTCGTATGTAACCCTGGCGAGGGTCCAAAAGAATCCGGGTCTCTGTTTCTTTTGCGGAGTTTGTTGTCTGATCAATCGTTGTTGCTGCTGAGCGGCTCTTTTTAAGCGTATATTCCCAGTGTTGCTTGTCGTAACCACTTGAAAATCGAATTTATTCAAATCCTCGAGCTCGAAGTATTTGCGAGCAACTCGTTCCTTCTCCAAGGCCAAGTTACTTACGTTGGCCTCGCAGCTGACGAGATTGAGGAAGATGGCTGCTACCAGCATTGATAACATCACTATAGCGCAAAATCTTAGATTCATCTGTGAACGAATAAATAGCTTTTATAAGCCGAAATTCTATATAAGAATTTCATATTTAGCAACAACATGAAACATGTAATTGAAGTGCCTATGATATTTGAAGAATGATTTTATAAATGCATGGTATGTGTTTACCGTCCTGTAACAGTCTTTGTATACTAGAGTCATGAAATATTATACTTACTTATTATTTTGGTTAATTCAATTCAAAAGAGAATGTACTCAGTAGTCATTTGCTTACTTTAGTCGCAGTTGTTTGTCTGGTATATAATAATGTCATTATCTCCAAAATGTCATTTGTCTATATAGACATTTGTTGAGAATATATTACTTCAGTTATTCATGTAAATCAGTCATTATGTGCCAATTTTACCTACAAAATAAATAGCTCAGCTAAATAACTTTATAGACAGTTATATAGAACTTTTATAGATAGTTTAATCTTCGTGGATTGTTTTTTAATAATTAATTTTCAGCTAGAAAAATATATCAATAATTTCATACAATGACAGTACTAATTAGATCAGCTATTGAGATTTATTTACGCAGGATAACATAATATTTATAAATTTGATTCAAGTTATCCTTACGCAATGTCGAAGCAGCTGATTTTCGTGTAATCTTTTGAGTAACTTTATGAATACAGGAGAGAAAACAAACATCCTTGCCGATATACTTAACAAGGCAATATACACCAATTAAGATATGCGGATACGAAGACAGTAATTTGAAGGGCAGAAAACGAAGCCTACGAAACGAAAGTGAAGATACGTATTTTCAAAAATCAGAAAGTTCATTGTGGTAATTTTCTTGTGGGTCCTTTTTTTCTATGCGACGCAGTTGTCGCCGCTGATGATACATAACGTCTTGACCGCGAAACTTTCTTCGAGGCGACCTCTGTATTTTACGTACCTCTTTTTTCGATGAGTCGAATAATTTTTATGGCAGAGTACTTCTGGCAATCACGTAATTAACAAAATGGTATTATGATTGAGTTGGTTCCGAACTGATTTTTTGTTTTTTTTTTTTGTTACGACAGAGTGATAATAATGTATGAAAATACAAATTGTAATGACTTTTACGAGGCGAAAAATAATGATGTAACATGTAATATCGATAAAAACTGACGAATGTAAATGGTTAAAAATAGCATCGATACTGTATAATAAAACATGATTAAATTAAAGAATAACAATTAAACTAGTGTCATACTTCATTCGCTCTACTTTACCTCAATTATCTAATAGGCTTTTTGGATTATTACATTTTAAATTATTGAGTGTATTGTTATATTTCTAATGCAAGAATTTTTTTCTTAAATGAAATTGAACAGACGAAAACATTCATTTTATTTAAATCGCATTTAAAATACCCGTATAGCATTCCCAGACTAACGTAGCCGAGATTCAAATCCCGGACATATTGTTTCATCCAAAAATATTCAATATGACATATCACTTTTGAACGAATCGGATACTACAGTAGCAATTAATGAAAGCAAACATGCGCATCGAGGATAGAGTGCGCTGTATAAATGCAGCAACATTCAGTCTCGAGTTGCGGCAGAGGTAAGAGTTTTTCGCGTGATAAATGAGTTTTACATTCTCTCAATCGCAATCATAAAACAATTTGAGCGCGGACAACACATGCATTAATAAATCCTGATAGGAGAGGCTATGCTTTTCGCGATCATCGTCATGCTGCTGCTGTAGGGACCCAAACAGAAATCTCTAATGAGGTACTTTGTACATGGGCGTCGTTTGTTTTAACGAGGATCGTATTTAACGATTCTCTTGGTCGTTATTCATACCTCGATCATAAAAGAACGCTTCGAGTATCACGGGTTTGAAAGTGCAAACTTGAAGTAAGACCTGAGTTTTTCGCAGCTATGCAGCATTACTTTTCTCGCTCGTTGGGAAACGCCATTTAGAAAACGCAGGATGTGAAATTTTGGAAAGTAAGAAGAGAATTTCAGCTACATGGAAGAAAAAAATTCAAATTTAATTTCTTTCTTATCGAACATGACATTTTTTTCTTATCGACACATCACATTTTTGAGACTCGCAGTCGCGTAAAGACTTTCGTTTTATGGTAAGAAAAGAAAAACTTTTTCCGGATATAGAAGCAAGTTTTCTAATTCAACAAGTTATTACCAAATAATTGCAATGCCAACAGATATATGTATAACTTGACCACACCTGATAAGGTTGCTTTTATTTTGTATCAACTTAATGAATTTATAACATTAATCATTGCATCCTAACTACCATAATTGTTGTACTCAAGTTTTTAATGCTTTGACGCCCAAAGAATTTCACAGAAAGTAAGAAAATTAAATATAACTTTCACTTTCAATGCATTATTTACGATTATCAAACGGTTTGCCCATAGTAATGAAACTACATAAAAATTTTTTCTTCTAAAGGGAAAGTGAATCACTAATATGAATCAGCAGATATCAAACTTTCGTTTGCAATTGACATACACTCGATTACTCACGGTTATAAAAAATCTTTTAATAATGTATTTCAATATTTCTATCGAGCTACAAGCTCAAGAGAAACCTCCCTGAGAAAGACACAAAACAATGATCACATCTGAAAAGCCAACGCACAACTGTGACAATCCCCTCTGCGTGTGTCATGTCTCGCATACATCGTCTTGACTTTAGCATGGCGGCGCGTGTACCGACTACGAAATCATCACCAACGAGGTACTTAAAGCAAGGTACACACGTTACGTAAGCCGTCCAAGTAAAAGTGGGTTCGGTTCAACATGTGTACGTATTCGAATAATATTCTATAGATTACTATTCTCTTATTTTTTTATTTCTGGTTGAAATCAGGCGAAACGATGTAAGAAATGGAAATTCTAGTTTTCTAAGTGCATAAACATTAGTATGAATCGAACCCGCGGTTGGTTCGGATATGTACTTGGCAAGCGCGAGTCGGCACTTTCTTTTGTAAAACCAACCAGCCGTTAAATTACATAAGCCTATTGCCGATCAGGTATTACTCGTTGTGAGGTTTCGTTTTTTGGTTGGTTTCAAAACAACCTGAAATACGGTGATAGATTGATAAGGCTGTGAACTAGATTTATGATATGAAAGATCGATGAATTCTTGAGGAAGATATTCGATGTTTACGATTGTGACTGAAAAACGTTTACGCTAATACGAAGTCCGCTTTTAATAATAATTGCAACGTAAGAAACTTGATCGAGCTCGCACGAAGAAAGGACTTAACTAACAATAGACCGGCTAATGAGTCAGACTAGTTACGAACAAGCTAAAATAACAGAGCAGCGCATCTTTACGTAACTTGGCAACGAACTCGGTGACCAATGCGTTACAAAAGCTTACACAATCAATCGGCTAAGCAAGACGAAGAATAATAAGCGAAAGAAAAGAAATACCTATTCGCGATCGTAGCAGCAGCAGCCATCGGGTCGTCGTTGCTCCATAATCAGCAAACGTGTAGCGCATGGCACTTGAAGTAAAATACCTCCACGGCGAGCCTCAACACGAAGCCCGAGCAGAAGAAGAACATGAGAAAGATCAGCCCAAAGACGGCTTTGCCGCTCGAGTAAAGTACGTTGGGTCCACAATAATCCGCAGCAGTGCACCTTATCACTCCAGCCGCAGCAGCCGACATGTTTGTGTATTGGAGATGTTGCGAGCAGAAGATTTGGCGAACAAGGTGTTGTTGTTATATAGTTACTGAACCGAATGGAGGCACGCGGCAGAGTAAGCGAGCGTCGAACCGAGCAAGCGACTTTCTATGAGCGACTTCCGCAGAGAGTGAGAGGCGCCCGCGCGCGTTCGACCAATACAGTCAGCTGTTCTCAGCACGCTGCAGACTCTCTCTCTCTCTCACTCTCTTTGTATACGTATATTTGGCGTTTGTATCTTATGAAGAAGATGAACACGGGCCTCCTTATATATAGTCGGTTATTGATTAGATTTAGTGAAGGGATTTGGGTCGGGAAATGTGATCTACGATTCGTCGATCAGATTCCCCGCTGGACTAGTTCCGCTAGTTTTAATTTTAAAATATGCCAGAGTGGGGACTTGCGTTCTTTTCGAGAGTAAGAGTGACATATACGTCGAAGGAAAGGCATAGTTTCGGACAAAACTAAATGTGTAAATCTTGTGCAATCATCACAAGCCGATGACAAAATATGAGAGCAATACACGAGTGAAAAAGAAGTTCGTCTTTACGCTTTATAATTTCTTTTATAGCTTTAACAATGTTATATCAATAAAAATTGTTATTTATTTATTTTATCACTTTCTTGTAATCAGGTTTGTATGCGGATTATAATTACATGCAATAGGAGTAAATTGAGCAAAACTAAATGTAAATGATGAATGTTTGTCATCAGAAGCACCAAGAATCGTGCTATTATTCTTATAGTGAATCTTCAATGTACTATTCAAGTAAATAGAACAAATTTGCAGTATACATTCTGATATAAGTTTCTAGATATCATGAATATCGAGTTTTCTCTTGAATATAAAATTAAATAATAACAATATAATTATAAAAATACGTTTTTATGTAATTCATCTATTATATTAAAGCTTTATAAATCTTTTTTATCTGTTGTTCATTTCCTTTATGAATTAGTCGCCTAATCTCGTAACTACTACTCAAATATATCAAATATCAAGATGAGTAGTTTCAAATAATAAAATTATATTTTTAAATTCATATGTAAAACAATAATACTGTACATTAGAAATCTTAAGAAAATTGAAGCAAAATTTTGATATTAAGTAATTTAACAACGCGTGGAATTGAACGACAATGAGATATTGGATTCACGATTTATGGAACAAGGATTCTGCGGTCACAAACGAGATAACGCGAGGTAATTATGAAGATGAATTTCTCCATTTAGTTGACTCAAATTAACGTATCCGCAGTCGTTTAGCGAATAAAAAAACTCAGATAGTATGCATTCTTACATTTTCTCTAAAATAATAGCTTTATTATGCAGCCGGAATCGTAAACCGATTACAAACTGTGGTAAATCTGAATTCTTTTGAGTTTTTCATTTTGAATCCAGTTTAGAAAGTTTTGAGACTTCGATATATTATATAAATTAAAACAAGCATGCAAAATATAAGTACGTAAGTCCAAGTATGGCAAAGCGAGGCCAAATTTAAAATGCAGATATTAAATGTATTTAATGCAAATACTATAATGATAATTTCGATCATAAAAACGTTGACTGCATCGTTCAAGATAATTTTGAAAAACAACATATGCAAGGAAGCCGTTTTACTTTTACACGAAAGTAACAATTAATCAGTAAAACAGATCTACTCGAGAAAAATGTTTAAATATTGTTCAGGATATATTTTAATTAACACCACAAGCTGTACGTGCCAGTATTATTTTGCATATTGTATAATGCTAACATTGTTTCTCCACAAAGGATTAATTGGGTCTAATATAAATAAGTAAAAAAAATAATACTTTCTTTTGAATTTCTTTTAAAACGAATGTTATCCAAAATAGACGACAAATTGTTTGTAATAAGAAATAAATTAACTATTCTTACTCTTTTATGAGACATGAGTTTAATGGTTTAGAATATTTATTTTAAAAGTATTTCAATGATAGACAATTATGCAGTATTACCTACTCGACAAACTATATGCTTACATGCAATATTTTTACACTATATTGAGATAATTATTTTTAAATAGTACAATAGAACGTATTTTTAATCGTTATTTGTAACAATGTTTAGTATTAGGTTTAGAGTGTTTAGTTATACGTTACGGCAAAATAGTAGGTGGTAGATTTATAAGAAATACATAGAGTTATCGACGTCTACTATCATGCCTTGAATATTACATTATTCTCATTCAGTTTTTAACTTATTGTAAATAGCTCAATTATCCACCATTCCTTCAGTTAATTTGAATAGTGGATGACTGAAATATTTATAAAAAGTTCAAAAATGAAAGAAAATTATATAATATTCGGAGATAAGTTAGGTTTTTTTTTCTCATAATCTGACTACTGAATCCCTTTAATCTACTTTTATAAATAGTTTAGAAAGTAATGTTAAATGTTTGTATTGTTAGTCTTTAATGAATTACAAATTATGCAACCATTTTTATTTCTGCATTCGTATACCTTTCATTAAACGTGGAATATGTCAATAATACTCAAAATTATAATTTTATGTTATTATATAACGGATTTGTCACAAAATATCGTACAATATCACTTTCTAAAAAGTGCATGAACTTTAAACGAGTCAAAATGTATTCACATTTTGCCGTTGATGCTTTAAAGTTAAACTCATTGAGATAATTTCAAACGAGTAGCCAAATTAACTGACGAAGATCTACAGTTAGGTGTTTGTTGAATAATAAAATGCCCTTGAAAATTAGAAATCAAGTCACACGATTTACTATCACGGTATAATGAACTGGAATGATAAGAACAATTTTTGATATTTATTTTAAAGAAATCTCAAGAAAATATCAATATTTGCGCAAGGAAACAGTTATACAACCCACCTTTTTGCCGATAAATCAGTCATCCCTCACCGCTACTGTGGCACCGACACCTATCTGAACCCAGTAAAGTTAAACAATTGTGACGCGATTAACTGCTTTTTCTATTTATGGTAAACGTTAGACTACAAGTGACGAATAGCAGCACCGCGTGAGTAATAACGACTAAGCGTACACGCATTATAGACTTTCCCTTTCAAATCTGCTGGCGTGCTGCCCACGCGTAGGCGCCTGCCTTGCGTGGGAAATTGTTTTGGGACTAGGCTCTTAAAATCTCTTCAAGTGAATATAATTGTTATGTACCGCATACCATGTAAATCCGCTCCGCGTCTGTTGAGTTCAAATTAAAAAAAATTATATAAGCTTCTGTTCCGGATCACGAATGACTGAGCTGTAGAATTCTTTTAGTGTTTTGTAGGAACGACTTCCGCAACAATTTGTAAATATGCATGTTAAAGAATGGCAATTACTTTTACTATTGGGCAATATTTAACAACGGTTCAAGATTAGCATTTTTTAATAATAACATTGCTTTCCTGTGCTAGTTACAACTAATGCCTACGTAGCGAGGAAAAATCAGTAACTACTGGAACCTTAATGGTACAGCTAGCCAATTTTTCTTCAAATCGGTCCGTTATTTAAAAAAATACTGATCGCAAGGATAATCGAAGAAAATAAGCGAGCATGTATGAGATAATTGTCTTTTACAGGTGTACACTTGGGGAAATAATGAGAAAGTGATGTGTAATTTGACAATGGTGATTTCACTTTGGTATCGCTGACAAACCTATTGAATTTTCGAACGCAAACTTGAAAAGTGAAGTTTCTTTTCTCAATCGCATATCAACATCTTGGCTCTTCAATTATGATTTCTATCTACAGCATTTCAAATTTCTCCTCACAGACATCATTCGTAAATTCAAGAGAATTGTTATAAGATATAAAGTGAAGTGTAAACGATATTTAAATAAGTTACTAACATTAGCATTCATTGATAGTGTAGTTCATAATATTGCAAATGATATAAAAATATGACATTTAATAATAACACGTTATTTTTAATTATTTACTAGTTGTGAAATACATTTTTTTTCAGACAACCACTTATGAATCTCTTTAAGTACGTGGCAGATAAAAAGGCTGCAAAAAGCGATCACATATTGCATAAATTGAACTGTTGCCTGATGTGCACGCGACAAAAAGTTCATTCAGACATCTATTGCGAATGTTATTATTGCAAAATGCACAAGAAAACCCCGTGATTACGATTAGTATACGAAGAACTTTGAAGCAATCGTTAACCTGCATGATCCTTGTAATACATAGTCGACTATCAATCTCGCGATCACTTTCGCTATCTAAGAGAAATACAAATGTTTAATATTTCTAAAAAATTTTACACTTTAGATATTTTGTATTATTATGCTGTAATATTTTATATAGTTTTGCGAGCGAGGACGAAATATCGAATCCATTAACATCTTTCAACAGATTCATACGCGTGTGAAAGCGAATTTTAAATTAGTCGATCAAAGCTTTCTGCAAAGCAAAAAAATATTTTGAAACGTCTTGTGGTTTTGCGTAAGAGTTATGTCTGATAGTAAAGCTATTATTAGTTATTTCTATTTATTTAATTAATTGTTTGACGTAAATGATTGTTATTACTGTCCTTTTTATAGATCAGAATATTTTATTGTTGGTGTTATTGCATTAGAGTTAATAAAGGTAACCTGAGACAGAAACAAAATCTCTAACTCTTAACTTTCAAGAAAAAAAAATGCAAAAAATGTTAGTATGAAAACCAATTGAATTAGATTTTTGTACGTGAGAACCCCAATTCTAGTGGTTTAACAAAAATTTTTAAAGTGATAATTGTAAAAATAGAAAAAAATTTCGTAGTAAAACTTTTCCCAACATGTAGATCCAAGTTAATCTTTGAATGTAGAAGCAATGTTAATATAAAAAGCATAATTATACACTTCAGTACAGACAAATTAATTGTCAACTCATCATCAGCTATCAAACCAAGATAACCGGACATTGCCAAGCTGTCAACATCCTACTCGTCAGTCTTACGGCAAAGACATGAATACCTTCAATTAAAACCTACGTAGACATCACGTCTCAACCCTTGGATTTACATAACTTACACCGATACGTGACCACAATGCATTCAAATAATTGAGACTCCAAAAGGATTTACCAGAGTCGAAATCGACTCACCTTGTTACGCAAACATTTCGTAAGTGGATACGCACAACCTTAAGACGATGGATACATTTTTTATCGAATTCTGTTCACTTTGAGAAACATCCGTAATTAGACTTCGTTTAAATAACCATATGATAACATACTATCAAAAAATGTTCATGAATCTTTCAGTATGGAAAGCGAGGTCGCCAATTCAAGGATCGATAACAATCTTCTCAAGGTTTGTTTTACTTTCTAAAGATAACAATTCAATTATCCATTAAGCGGAAACGATTGTGAACTTTACGAAAGCGATCGTCGCATAATTGACAACGTCTCTTCCTATCATTCAATGGATACATGTCATTCTGATCTTTCAAAGAAAGTCTTTCATTTATCTAATATTTCTAGATTATTGACAACAACGGGTGGCTTTTGATTTACCTTGCGGTGGTTAAGGCACGGCTTCAAAAGCTTCTCTCTCTTTGTCTTTCTTTCTTTGCGGTGAATAGACTTTGAGTGTGCTGCAATGAAAGTTGCGTGTCTTACTAACTTCCAATGCACAAATACAATGTTGGCATTGAAGGATTTGGCATGTTTCTTTCAACAGAGTAGTTGTGAGCTTGCATAAGCAATTGGAGTAAAATCAATTAGCCGTTTTAAAAAGACTAGTACTGAAAGAACCGTCAGTTAATTAATAGAAGTGGAATATTTTGTTTATTTATGTAGTGATAAAAATTCAATAATGTAATGCACTGTGGTGATCTTTAAATTGTAACCAAAATTAAAAAAAACACAGTTGAAAAGTCACAGCCGTAAACAACAACATCGCGGCCAATTCCCTTGACCGATAAAACTGAGGAATATCCATTACCTGAGCGAAAGGGACAGATGTTCTTTCACCAAAAGTAATGTGCACGGATAATAAGTATCAGCCGGCCCGACACTCGTACAACAACTAACTTGAGATGAGCGTGCGCCTGTGGACTGCGAGTGTGTCTTTCTCGAAACGTGAGCGCCGCAAGGTCAGCCACATTTTTCTCTTTATTTCATGCTTTTACGAAACTAAATATTGCGAAGGTACACGCAAGTAGCCAACGACAAATGAGTGAGAAGTGAGATGCACCGACCAGGATACACAAACACTTGTGGGATTTTCCGGCTTTATACAGAGTAGTGTGAGTATGACGTGGCAGCGAATAGTAGGACCACAGATTTTTTTCAAGAGTGCATGCATTTACGATACAATTAGTCTGCAGGTTAGTGGCTGAGTATTCATGTACTAGAGTATGAAACGGAGATTTATTAAAAGTCAATCGTAAAGGATGGTTCGCATAGAGAATTTATCGAATTTTCGTCAGCTTTGATTGAAACTTTTATTATTTACGTTTACTCAATTGAACTTTCATTGATTAATAAATTCATTTGTTTAAGCTACAACGACTCAAAGTTCTTTTCACAATATAATCTTTATATTTCAGTAGAATAAGCCTCTGAGGTAAAATAATAATTATCATCAAATTGAAAAAATTTATGTTCAGGAAGATAATTTCGAAAAACTTATTGTGCTGTTATTTTCTGATAAAAAGTACCAAGAAATTAGACAAAAATGTACACTTCCACGTCAACAAATATTCTGTTCGCGTCTTTTAAGGAAAAAAATTTCATATCACCAATATTTTTGTCAGTTTCAATTAAATTTTTATACTAATACTAATTTTAGTTCTTCATTTTTTCATATTTGAACTTACAAAAGTACTTGTAGCGCAAGACTACCTATTTCTCTCGAAAAAATCAACAAAAAATGTCGATGAATTTCAAGTTCTACTTTCAATACCAGTTTTATCATTAAACTTTTTGGTTGTACGATATTTTTAGGCACTTTAGTTACTTTATAGATCACAGTTGAGTTAAAAAACAACTCGCAAAATAAAGTTTTCCGTGCACCGATGGGTCGTGTACTGGCGATCAGTAAGGATTGTCACATGACTCCACAGGAAACACATTAATATCGGTGATACAGAAATAAAGACCGTTCACCTATATAACACTCGAACGTCACGGCGAGTTTTCACCGGAAACGCCATCGACGCGGAAATTGTTATCATGCGTGCCGACGAACTTTAATATTTAACAGCTATTTGTTACGTATAATACATATAAATGATTAAGTAATATGCCTGTTAACTAAATATCTTCAAGAGAATGATATCCTCTGCTCAGTATGAACGTGACTTCTTTTAATGCATTTTTCTAACTCGTGAACTTTGCTAACTATAATTTATTCAAAGTACAATTCTACACTATTGCAAGTTCCATCAATTAGCAACGTTCAATATAATCTTCATCAATTAAAATAAAAGTACCTACGCAGTTCGGATGCCTCACTGTTTAAATTTTGAAGTGCAGGATTCAAGTAAACGACAAATTAACATAAAATATTGTTTAACAATTTTTATAAAAGTTTTACAAAAATTCTCTAAATAGTTTTATTAACTACATGAATATCGATAAAATAAAAAGAAAATTTAGAATAGTAAGTGGTACAAGTTTTAGTTTATATGTAATATATTACATTTTATAATAATCTTAAAATTAAGAAACTTATGATAATTTAATAAATACTGTAATTCAGCTGTAATAACATCATTTACAATTTTAATAAAACATTTCAAAGTAATAATAATTTTTATAATCACCAAAATAATTATAAATTATAAGTAGATAGCCAACACCGATTTGTATTCCGTCACCACTTTTGATACGATATATTTTTATTTGAAAATATTTATCTCTTGTAATCATTACAAAATGACAAATATAGTTTCATTTTTGGCACACAATAATTCAACATTTGTGATAATGTAGCTACACCAGCTACACTTATGCTAACTATATCGACTATATGTTCTTAAAAAATTATAACAAATTATAGTAATGTCAAATAAAAAAATATGTTTTATATGATAAATTATTACTGTTTAGTTAACAAATCGAGTAATAACATACCTTTAAATATTAATATTATTTAAGAATTATATTTACTATCATAAATGTTGATAATCAAATTATAAAAGTAAACAATCATTTTTCATAATTCATCAAACACTACAATGTACCATCAAACTCTTATAATACATTCAATGTCTGCAATAAAAAAGAAGCTTGCGAAATCTATTCGGCATTATTTGTTGATAGAAGGTACGAAGAAAATAATTTTTCATGCATAATGATGTAAGATTGCAGCGTCATCAATGCAACTTCAATGCATCTCTCTCCGTGTCATTAGAAATTCACTTTCTACGTACATCACTCAATTTCTTAGATAATTGACGCAGTGCATGAACATTCAAAATTTGAATTTGCTCTCTCTGATGATGTACAAAATGCTTGATCATGCAGAAAAGTGAGATTACTGAGATTTCGCTATTGCGTTTATATAAATAACCGATGACGAATCGATTGAAAGAGTCAGTAGATTTGACTTCATGTTATTTTTTTGTTGTGTGTAGAACATAACAACATTTTTTCTTGGTACGTTTAACATTCATGTGGAAAGTAAGTTTACGTACGATAATTACAGCAACAATTTATTAACTAATAAAAATATTACGTTAATGTGAGATTAACAATAAAACTACCAATTTTTTTCTGAAATGAAGCAATACTTTCGCTTTTATGACATTTCCTAACAACAATTTCGAAGATTAATTCTTGTTACGAACAGCGAAGTATTTTTACAATTTCATTGATCAAAATTTGTTCTAATAAAAAGTTAAGCAATAATAACAACTGTAAACCCGCTACAATATACCTTGGTCAGTTAGAAAAAAGTAACTATAAATTTATCCAATTTACTTTCAAAATTTATCTTCTTTTAGAAAAAAACGTCTTAGTAATATTTAGTCAAGGTTGGAATCTCGTTCGACAGCAAAACTCGTCGATGGTGCGAACACCCTTCGGGGATTTCCAATGACAATTTTATCACACTATCGAGTTTAGCTTGAAATTATCTATTTTCACATCGACTACTTTGGTTTATCAGAAGGAAGTCCTTTGATTGCAAATACACCACGGAAAATCGGTTTGAATACTTCCAGCACGCTTTCTGTTCTCCTTGCTGAGTTCTGCATAGAAAAATATAAGTAAATTAGTAGTATTGCATATATTCTTATGAATGGATATTTTCATTGAAACTGATTTTTTTATCAAGTAACCAACAATTTAAAATAAAATGGTGTCAGTAATGATATAGCAAAGTATTTTCTTATTATAAAATATGATTTGAAAACTAATGCGATACGAAAGTGTATGTAAAAACAAATAGCGACTTGAAAAGTAAACATGCACCGCACATTAATTTTGATCAAGGATATACATTCACTTTTATACGATGCTTTGTGCGAGGTCAATAAACTCCATCGTTCCGTTTTTTTTCTTCATTATTTAACTTGTCTAGTCAAATTAAGAATAGAACTGTTTCTTTTTCATTCACAGATTAATTTATGCTAAACTGTTATATAGTCTACATAATCGACGAAACTGTTCTGTGTTCCTCAAGTTTAAATTAAAAAAAATGAAAGTGACTTATATTAATAGACGCGGCAATCAAAATCCAAATGATCATTTTATGTAAAATAGATGAGATGTACGAATAATTTAAGTTAATTTTTGCACAGTTTTACATAATTTGCGCATTACTCAACTATTTTATGTGATAGCTACAATCTGTAAAAAATGTGACTGAGAGGTACGATTTATTTTAGTAACGTTTATTTCTAAATAATTTTATTTATATCAAAACGCTCTTTATGCCTCGGTATATGTAAGTTTATAGGCTAATGAGCAATTATATGTCTAAAAAAATTTTATAGCATGAAATCATGAAATGTGGCATTCAGATTCACATATGTTTTGTAATTAGATCAAGTGAAAGGGAAACACGTTTATATGGTTCACCGATAGCAGATGTTTTTGATAACTATTTAATTTATTAAAACTAGATTGTCTAATAAGAGCTTTCTAATTGAATAATTAAAATTAGTTGATTTTCATAACTAATTAGCTTTCAATCGATCTCTCGGATATTAATAGCAAAAGACTTGAAAAATTATTTATACCATTATCACACTGCTGATGACTTTAGTGATTGCCGTAATAAGGTCAAATCCACCACCAATCAGTTGCGGTGGAACATCCAAAGACACTTTCGTTCTGTCAAATTCGGGAATATCTTCTGTGGTCGTTTGAGGTTTCTTCGTTGTTCTTTGAACTCGTGGATGAATCTTTAAACAAAAATCGCATCAAGCACAAATTTTCCAATAAAGAGTTATGAACAACTGAATTCTATTGTGATTTTTGCGTAAGTGAAAGAAAAAAATTAATTAATTAATATAATTCTGTGATTAAAATTGCCTATGTAAATTTGCGAAAATGAAAACATGCATTTGATATTAAATACATTGTAACATAAAATTTAATAAACTATTATAAATATATATTAGAGGAATAAAATATTGTCGTTTATAGGCGCTTTCCAAAAAGTTTCGTTTCCATCTTTTCACAATAATTATTTTAAAATATTTTTGCATTACATTGAATAAAACATACAAGTACACGATACATGTGGACATGATAATCAGGTTGAAGGCAAGATATGAAGATATATCAAGGTGAAAAAAAATAAAAAATGCCAAATATTTCAACATATCACGATCATGTCTTTAATGCAACAACACATAAAAAAATGTAAATATATATACTTAAACTCATATACAAATATAAAAAAATAACCTAATATTAAATGCAAGAATGGCAAGAATCTTCACTCTAGTAATAATTCTAGCGCCTCGCGATCTAAAACGAAACACCAATAGTGCCGTAACACTCGACAGTCAACCTATTCCAAGTAGAAAAATATCCGTTCCGGTCACACACAAGTTTGTTTTTTACTAATACATAGAGTAAGGATTTTTACAAAATATTTATAAGTTCGCTGCAACATAATTTTAATTTAAGTTTCAAAGGTAGCTGATAGTTTTAAGTAGTTGTTTTACAATAACTACATGCATGCTGCGGTAAACAGCATGTCGGCACTGTTTATAATTATAAAATGATATAATGATTTAATTATTGCAATTTTTCATTGAAATTCAAGGCTGACAAATCTTGTAAAATTTTTTAAGCATCCACGACCATTTCTTCATACATTAAGTAAATAATTTGTGTACGTTAGAGACCGGACTTTTTGATATCCATATTGAATTTATAAAAAAAGACATGAATTTTTCTCCTTCGTTTCATATGTGAATATTCTTTGCATAGTCACTATCAATATGCCCTCAAACAAAAATATATTCACATTCATAAACACGTATCTCATATGTCTCAACGCAAAATGACTCAACGCTCGCATTGAACAATCGCTTCAACAGACAAAAGTTATTACAATAGATAGTTTACAGATGCAGAGTGAAATTTGGGAAAAAAGAAAACGGTTTTGATCGCTTGCTCAAGTAAAAATAAGAAAATAGTTGATAAAGAAAAGCAGTAGTAAAAGTAGGTGCACGGACGTCCTCGAACAATATGGCCACAGAAACGCAAAATAGTTAGAGATACAATTATTTTGATTATCCGTTATTTGTTCCGCAATCGTCATCGGAACAGCTGCAAATTTCCCTCGTAATCCTGTCCTTCAAGGTCGTTCGAGGTGAACAGCAGCTACTCCTCAAGGTATAGTCCTCCACGTCCTCATCGTCCATAGGCATAGTATTGTTGAGTAGATGGTATGTATGTCTGAGGCGCCGGCGACGTATATTCGTACTAGTTTTGGGATAGATAACACAGAGTCGACTTTCAGACTTGTTCGGTGTTATTTGTTAGTAATCGGGAAGGAAAATTATTCGTGTACATTTGTGTGTATGAGTATGTGCATCCGGTACATGCAGAGATCTAACTACCTGGTTCTTTTTCTTCAATTTCGATCAACGAATTTGACTTTGATCACACTTGTAAAAATTAAAAGATACCAATTTTATCTTAGACAATCACTGATTACTTTGTTGAATTTAGGTCTTGATAAAATACTGTGAATGAAAGTTAAATTCATTAAGACTTGCCAGACCTACATACACGCGGGGCGATACAATGTTAGAGACAAAAACATGTACTTTTGAGTTAAACTGTGGGGATAAGCGAGTTAACGTCAATATCAGAATTCTTAGTTCAAATGAAGAGTTATTTCTTTAACTTATCTTCAATTATATAACGAAACTTGCAGAAAACTACTTAACAATACCCGATTTTCCATGCAACATAAATTATAGTATTCTATATAAAACGATATGGACAAACAAAACAACGATGGCGGAAAAACAATACTTTCAAGAGAGGATGTTCTACAGTTCTACAAATCAGTATAAACGGTAAACATGTAATTATATTCGAGGATATGTACTAGGATAGGACAACTACTTGCTCTTTTCTTGTTAAACAAAGGCGCGGAACTTTGTGCTTTGACGGCGGTATTACTATATGCGTCAGGAGTTATCCATTCATAGTGCGGGCATATACGTCATTTAATGTGCAATTGGTTTTTTAATTGTTGGCTGGTTTACTGCCAGTGAAATGGCACTCCATCTATACTCCATTGAAGCAAACTATGTTAAGTTTTTGTAACTCTGTAGGCAAAAGAAATTTAAGAGATGTTCCTAGAGTATAAATGCAATTTGTATCAAGAACAATAAATATCTAATTACCATCGGTAAAATATAAAAATTAACTATTTCACTTACATCACAACGAACTTTATCGTATGCCTTATTGAAATAGTCCTCATCACTCTACCAAATTGTCGGCAAGTAACGGCTTGATCAAAAATAAATAAAAGCCTTACGCCGAAAATTCGAAAAAAACAAGGGGACAATAAACTTCAATAATTGCTTCAACGGAGTAACGAATTCAAGCGCAAATTTCATTGGTCATCTTTCTTATCATTCGCTTCTTCAGAGTTGCCTACCGCTCCGTTAAGATTAGCGAAACCACCGTTGGCGTTAGCATCAGCAAACGCGCTTGGATAATCAGCACCAGCTTCTTCAACACCATTTCCACCGCTGAGTCCACCGCTCAGACTACTCAAACTGCCGAGGCCACCGCTGCTACTGCCATCACCGCTGCTACTGCTGAGGCTGCCGAGGAGACCAGCGATGAAACTTCCGCTGTCGCTGCCGCCGCTGCCACCGCTGCCACCGCTGCCACCGCTGGCCGCACCACCACCATGACCACCTGTCAAATTTATGTAATTAGTCTGGTGTATTCTACTTTACAACAGATTTTTCATATCTCTCTAACATTCCAATATTATAATTGATTGATTTCATGTACGAGTAGTAAAAGGTAAAAATAGTCAAACATTGATTCGTCACTCACAAGCTCAGACAAGTTTTAATGTTACAATTAATTCTTAAAGCAGTTATTGTGGTTTGGGTATCGTGACGATTGGCTTAGATGGAATATCGTCAAGTAGTAAAAATCAGTTATTGTCAGACATTTTTCAAAAATTAAATGAATCGACTGAGAAATAGTCTAAAAACTAAGGCACGTTAAACAAAGTTACCTGAGCCACCAGACAGACCACCGGACAAAGAGCTAAGCGGGGCCAATTTGGAGGCAAAAGCACCAGCAACACCCTGTGCAGCACTCGATAAGAAAGTTGTACCAGCATTAATTGCTGGGCCGATACTACCGGTTGTAGCCTTGATCTTTTGTTGAATGAATTTGGCTATGAATTCGCTAGTTGCCGATTTGGTGTTGTCAATTTCGAATGCAGCGTTTTTGGCCTTGTTCCCTTCGTCCAACACTGTCAGTGCTTTCGTCTTGGCGTCCAAAAAACCATCGAGTTTCTAGGAATTAGTAAGCTGCTAAATAATTTATTTTCGTTCAAATTCTTATAGAATAACGAACAAGCATAACATTGTTCCGTGAATACGCTACTCTGCAATAGCTAAATATTTACAAAATTTTTTTCCGGTAATTACACATAAAGGAATTCTGCAATAGTAAGATTTTGTAATCAAACCTGATTTTAGATGTATTTCTTGTCGAACAGAATTATTCACGTTATCATACGCATGAGCGTTAACAATTGCACAATGCAGCAAATCATTAAAAGTTGTGAAAAACCTTTTAACACTTTTTCCGTAAATATGTTAATTGGCAATTGTGCCCACTGCAAATATCATGATTTCGTAGTATTAATAAATGTATATCGTGATTTGTGTGGAGAGAAAAAAAACACGAGGGAAACCGTGACACATTGTGCAATTGTCTACGAGCAGACTACGAGTATCGTAATATTCGTAACATGGATGCCGGTAGAAAGCCAGCTAACCTTAGACATTTTTTCCGTTACATGGAGCATTAAACATCACCGGTGGTATAGCTTGCGTCGTGATAAATTATGCGAGGATTGCGGCAATCCTCGAAACGTATGAAAATGTAGTACTTTTTCTAAAACCCGTTAATGAAAGTTTTTGTTTGGTATGCAAAAGGTACGTGAAGAAAAAAAGACAGCGGAACAAAATAATACTTACCCCGAAAATAAAGTTAAGAATGCCATTGGAAACGCCAAGCTTCACAATGCCAATCTTCCTCTTGTCTCTGTCAGTCCTGTCTTCGTCCTCATTCTGAAATATATAAACCTGGCGAGAGATTAGTGACGCTTCAGCGCTGCTCTCAGCCGCGCAGTAATAATCATAATTAATCGTTAAAACCAACATACTTCCTAAATAAGTAAATTTATCTATTTGTCTCTACGCTCGTATTACACCAATTAGGGCTGCACACGCGCAATTACAGAGAAAAAAATTAACAGTTGAAGCTTACTTAAATGCCTATAATACGTCAATTACAAATGATTATGCGACTGTAAGAAAGCGCAAGATAGTGCATCTTTCACTTCGCATCATATCGCAGTCAATTACAAGAAAGTGAAACTCGGTGATATATATGCTAATTTTTATGCAGTCGTAACTATATAATATTGTTTTCTTCATAGTTTAGTTACATTTTTTCTCACTTTCAAATACCATCGTGATTTTCTTAAGGATTTTGAATATCTTATATCCAATTCTTAATTAAAACAGCAATGATGATTTTAAGCATACATATTTTCTAATTACTTCCTGACATGACGGTGCTCCATTGCAAATGATACGCAACGTAACAACTATCTCAATAGATAGTGCTTTCGTGATATCTATAAGGAGTTTAATAATTTTTCAACATTAACATTAAGTAATTGAACATCAAATATATCGTATTTTATTCTACTTAATTTTAGTAACATACATATTCTAGAAAATCAAATTGTCAATTCAACAAAATTTAAAAATGAAAATCGTGATTATTTATAAATGTGTCGTTTTAAAATTGATAGTGCAATCATCAAACGGATAAAACGACATAATATGACACAATACATTCAACTCACACATCCATACGACCATTGGAGTACAATTTTAATGAGCTAAGTTGTTGCACAGGTGTAATCAGTATAAATACCATTAGCCCAGTTTTATAAGAATGTTTGGAGTTGTAACGCATTAAAAATAATCATAGATTACTGCACAACCTTCAGTTACTAAACATAATTTTAACATCGGTCAATAATGATGAAATGATACTCCATCTATAATTAAGTTCTCATTATTAACCTAATTTCAAAGTCAAACAAAACTTGAACATCATTTAGTTACATATGTGATCCTTTCGTCATTTGCGTATATGAACGATAGACTCTCTTCTGAGAAACCGGTAACAATCATACCGGTTTTGAAAAACGTTTTCTCGCATAAAATAAAGAAATTCACGGGAAAAATCATCAATTCTTTTTTTTTTTTTTTTTTTCGGTGCAAACCCAAGAGCTCGCTGGCACGCACACACGGACGGCGTTGCGAAAGGCCACATATATGCGTTTCGTTGCGACAGCTAGACGGGAGCGACTAATTAAAAATAAGCCTCACGGCGAAATAAAGCGACAGATTCGAACACAAAATCCGTCCTTGAAAATTCGTTGGAATTATCTTCGCTTTGTATGGGTTCCTTTCGAAATATTTGTCTAGTACTGCTGTGGTTGGTTCGTTCGGCCAAAATTAACGTTTTGGATTCTCTAATCGAACGTTTAATCAAAGGACACTTGTGAAACATGATACGATAATTTGCTAATAGACGTAGACGTGACGCGATTACAATGAGAACTTTGTATTCTGAAAACACATGCATGAAATCGAATCTGCACTTAAAAGTAAAGATCCAGGTTTACCTGGATAACAACCTGATAAGGAAATTATTATTATCGATCAAACGTCTTGGCAATTGATTATTCGTGAATCGATCGAGCGCGCAATCATAATCAATCGTACACTGACGCACGCGTGCCGGGCGATCGGGAAGGAAACGCGAATTCTAGAGCACGTGGTTCGTCGATGTGTGCGTAAGCGCGAGTCGCAGGCCTCGGAAATTTCAAGCGATCGCGCGCGCTCGAACGAGAGAGCCGGTGGCCACTTTCACCGTCAAGCGGCTTATCGCTTTTTCCGTTCTCTCCGTGTGTCTCTGTGCTTGAATTTTCAAATGCATCTTTCACGAAGACGGAAGGACGCGCCCGATGAATGAGAAAAACGCACCCGTGTGCGAAATAAATTTTACGCATTTTATGCATCGAAGGAAGAAATTATATCGACACGCAATAACTGTAATTGTAAATGTAAAATTACGTAAATCGCAACACTGGCTGCGGCGCGCACGTAAATGTTTGTGTGTGTATTTTCACCTTATAAAATAATCGTCTCAGCAGCAGCCGGCGTTATGCAGTAGCACCCGTAACCTTCGAAACTTTCATCTCTCTCTCTCTCTCTCTCTCTCTCTCACTCTTACCGTCTGACTCGGAAATCGAAACTTTTTGAAAAGCATAGCTCTGCGTTTGTTTTTTTTTTGTTTTTTCCATTTTTATAAAAGAAATATATACAGATTATTGTTAAAACTCACCTCGTTTAGAGGACTCAAATCATCGACATCTCTCCTCGATACTGGACTGCATTCAATGGCTACGACTGCAACTAACAGAGCACACCCTATCAATGACAGCTTCATGTTGGTAGTTGTCCAAATACGGGGCGCTCAGTAGGTAGACTTAAAAAAGCTGCTGCTACTCCTGCAATGAGAAAGAGAGAATAAAAGTCGAGACGAGACGGGTATATGCGTGTGCCTGCGTGTGTTAAACTCGCTGAAATTCGCTCGGATTTTTCGGCGACACTTTCTCTTCCGCTTCGTTTGTTATTCGTCATCGGGGAACTTTTGTCTTCGCGGAATCATAAATAAGAATTGTCAAATAGATCGAAACTGATGAAAATCGATATTTCGAAATTGACTTGAGGATAAAGCAGCTATCATCGTTTATGTATTTTTTTCGGAAAATTTTCCAAAGGGTAATTCATTGAGTTATGGTCATTGAAAATTGAGTTATACAGCTATACGTAAACTACTTCGAATAGAAATTCTTCATAAATGTCAGGTACACTATTATAAAGCAACGGACACCTTAGATTTATTGAAGAAAGGTCGAATAAAATGATGTAATTTCCAAACTCGTCCTGCGCGTGGAATTAGCAGTTACACTAAACACACCGCTATAGAGATGTCGTATTACAAAATTAAAATAACAGACCGGTGTCGAGATCGCCCAAAATACTACGGAAAAAAGTTGAAAAGAAACACTTACGTGCGTAAATGGGCGAGAATAAGAAATGGAGATAGACGTAGAAAAGAGAGACAGAAAAGAGGCCAAGATGTGTACCTCACGGAGTACGAGGCTCGTTTGAGTTGCGACGGTGAAGGAGGTGCCGAAGTCTTGCTCGTGGAGCGCCCCGCGTTAGTGAGAGAGAGAGAGAGAGAAAGAGAGAGATTCGAGAATCGAAGCCCCTCTCTTGCACGCACGCAAGCGCGTGTCCTCGCCACCTCTTTCACCTGCATGCGCATGTATACGCATGTACATACACATCGACGTTATGTCATTTTCACACTACATATACGTTTTGTCACCATAAAGCAGTTGGTGTGCGATCTATTGACGAGTTGGCGGGAGAGGCATTATAAACTTGACTTTATAGAACGCCAGTTATCTGAGGTAAATATTACCTGATTCGTTACCTGATGTATATTTCCGAGTTTTTTCGTGAATAACTGTTCTTTGTTGATTCATTGAGACGTGACAGTAATGCAAAAAACATTAATTTAGTTTATTATTTATAACAATTACGAGCTCCAGGACAATTCAGATTTCGTAGCGATACAGTGGATATTAATACTATTCAAACGATCATTATTCATACAGTTTTTATCGCAATAAATTTTCGCAAAATATTACAGTTACATAGAAAATAATTGAAAATATACGATTGCTTAAGTAATGTCTACTAAAGACTAATTAATCAACGAATGGGAAAATTATATGATTAATCAAAAATTCATACTTATGCGGAAATACAACGATTGCTAAATTAAAAGCTGATATGCGATCGCATCAAATGGAGCTATTAGCGCGTGGCTTTTATGGATAGAAAAACGTGTGTACATATATGTAAGAGAGAGAGAGAGAGAGAGAGAAAGAGAGAGAGAGAGAGAGAGAGAGAGAGAAAGAGAGAGAGAGAGAGAGAGAGAGAGAGAAAGAGAGAGAGAGAGAGAGAGAGAGAGAGAAGAGAGAGAGAGAGAGAGAGAGAGAGAGAAAGAGAGAGAGAGAGATAGAGAAAACTAGAAGCATCTTATATTGCACGGATTACAAATTGTTACTATTAACTATTCGACCACGACGCATTCGATCATTTCCGATATTCAAGACTTAGCCAAGATGAAAGGAAATACTTTCTTGTCTCGACTATTAACTACATTTCCATAAATTGAACAACGTAATTGTACGCGTTTGTGATCATGAACTTGATTTACTTAAAACTAGTAAAACTTTTAATACACCGGAATTAAAAGCTATTAAATGGTAAACGCTTTAAGTTACCTAAATTCAAAAAAAGCGACAATCAGATACCGTATATTATACTAGCATTGCCTAGTACAATTGAAGTTGAGTATGGAGGTCATGAGTTAAGAAATAAAATAGATCAAGGACTTTTATAGTGTTTACAAGTTTACGTTATTATGCACTGATCGTGTTTTACCAAATTTATCACACAATGAACCATTGAAATAGGTGAAGACACAAAGTATTAAAATTAACTTTTGTCGTTGTATTGTTTTAGTTGATTTAAATTATTACATATTGTAAGCTCAAAAAATTCATGCTCAGCATTAACAATCAAAGCGATACTTTGGCCACGCTACTTTGCAAACTATTTGTATTCAGTGTCGAAAATCTATAACGGTCTTGGCCCAATTCGTAATTTACATGAAAGAAATTGAGGCTTACATTTTATTGTCGTATTAATTCTTTTACAAACTTGACATTGTGTCGACGTGGCTTTGAAAGTTTTATATGCATTTCTCCTTCAATTTAATTACTTTTGAAATATTTCTCAACTTGCAGTATAGAAGGTTGTTTGACCTTAAATACAGGCACAAATTTTCTCGTTTTCTGTCCTAAATTGAAACTTGATATTTCAACATAGTTTAAACTAGCAATACCTGCTAAACAGAGCATTATTTTAAAAAGTAGCGGTAGTATAATCGATCATCGCTTTATTTTTAGGATTTAGTTCGTGACAGTTATAATTTAATAACTTTGTAATCTTTTTTAAAACATTTTTTTGTAATGAACTCAGCAGTGAAATATGTTACTATTCGTGAGTGGAACCTAAAATAAACGGAAAAAATTTTATAATTGTAAGTAGTTTTTTTAAATGATTAGTATTTCCATAACCATCGTAATCATTTCACCATTGTTTCAATATTTTAAATCTTGACAAGCCACTAATATTTTTAGCTATGAAGAAGTTAAATATTTATATATGTTTTCTATCGTTTACTACAATGGTTTGGTCTGAAAAAGGTCTGAAGAATCTTTTGAATCTTGAATTTTTAGTAATGAATTTTTATAATTTATTTATTCAGTATCTCTCAGAATTAAACGAGCACCCATTATCAATGGACAGGTTACCACAATTTCAAAGAAACCTTATTTTGTAATACAAACTTATTAAAAATAGTTTTTTTCTTAATGTTAAGAAAATCAACGTAAAGATTGAAATTTTAGGCAAGTATTGTTGAATTGGATAATGAATTTAAATCATGGTGTCCGATCTGTGGAGCAACTATCATAACAGCTCAATGGCTTCTTACTGCTGCACATTGCATACAGTTTCGTCTCATATGTTCAATAATTTATGTTATTTTTATCAAATATATTTTCTTCAAAACAATTTTTTACTTTACAGACCTCCAATAAAGTATTTAAAAGTTCGTACTGGTACTGACAAATATTTCATACCAAAAGATAAAGAAGAATTACATTTACATGAAATATTGGCTGCTATACCGCACCCTGATTACTCGCACATGAATATAGTGAACTTCTTTGATATTGGCTTGATAAAAGTTTTATAAAATATTTCACTTTTACTTGTACATTTTTACTCTGTTATTACAATGTATATTTGCATTTTCAGTTGAAAATTCCAATCGAATGTAGAATCGGATTACAGATGCCAATAAACCTTCCAACTGACACATTGTTTTTAAAAGCTGGAACAGCGTTAACTATCGTGGGATTCGGTTTCAACACGGTTAGTAAATAAATGTTTATTGAATACCGATTACAATTTTAACAAAATATGATTTATTGAAGAATTACATGAGATTATTCATATCAATGAAAATATTAATAAAATTATTTTATTCTATAGAATCAAGAACAGCAAGATAATACAATGCTTCCTATAAAATTATTATATGGTACAGTCAGAGTTATGGAGAAACAAGATTGTCAAAGAATTTACGAGGATTGGTTCATTGAGAAAACTGATCATCATTTCTGTGCAACTTCTCAAAAATTTGAGGTAGCTAAAGGCGATTCCGGAGGCCCGGCAGTGTACAATTCATACCTAATTGGTATTATCAGCAGTGGTGGACAGGGGAAGGATCAATATCCAGGATTATTCATTGATGTTCGCAAATTTATTGGTTGGATTAAAATGGTGATCGGAATCGACAATGCCCGTTCGCTCAAAAAATGTTGCGCTATAGTATAGTTTATTCTTCTAATAATACAATATAATAATTACTCATAATTTATGATTTTTCTCTCAAATAAAATATATATTTCTTGCTGTTTATAAGTAATAAATTGTGTAGATCATGTCTTGTTTGCGTTAAGCAGGATAAGAACTTACACAAGCTAACGGACTGATGCGAATTCAGATGAGCCAAAAATTATTATGCCACGCGTACAGTTGGATAGTACCAATGCAAAACATTTCCAAAACAGGATAATCGTTGCGTTTCGTTTCTCTAGATATATATTAGACCCGTCGGAAACACGTGTATGCGTAATTCTGAGGCACAGTGCCGTGACATCTTTTTTTGGTATCCACCTCGAAGTCGTATTTACGAGGGAACGATTATGTCAGTTTGCTGTATTATGAAATGGCAGCTAAGACTTGTTTTTTTCCTATTTTCGAGTTTCATACTATACGGTTTAATATAATTGATAGATGCGTACATTTAGCTACGCATTTTGTATGCATTTCTTTCTATACAAATTCATTGCTTCTACTATTATAATTTATTACTTGTCAAATACTAGGAATACGATATTATAGACCTATAAATGTCATTCCTTTCATTGCACAGTGATGTAGAAATTCAAAGCTTTTATATAAACAGTTAATTGTACATATAAAAATATTTTTCTTAAAAAATAATTATTAATGTGTTATATAAAATAACCTATTAATTTTTCTAAAATAACGGTAATCAATCAAAATGGTTTGATGCACAAACCTAGACACTTCGATGATTAATTAAATCGATTTTCGTGAATATGCCGAATTTGTGTTCCATAGTTGGTTTAGTTGATAAAAGCAACAATGACAGATTTAAGTTCAAAAATATAAAAGCATACATGTTGAATTAAAATAAATACAATTAAAAGATATTAAATTTACATAGAAAAACTTTTTATAAGACTAGTTATCGATTTAAAATCAATTATACGATCTTTCTATTTTTTAAGAGATAACTATTGATAGAAGTAGATCATTAACTTGAATAAAATAGAAATTAACTATTTTTCTCGCCTTTGTATCATTGCGTGCAATTACTATGTCTACGCAATGATAAATTTCAGTGACAACTGTGATTTAGAAGTTTGTCATTGAGGGAAACAATACGAGGGAGCCGGTAGATTTGTGTTATTAGCCTCTCTCGCCAATGGAAATTCGCTGCACGTCCTTATGCGGTTGTGAAAGCTGCGCGCGAGACTTCCCGCAAACGCATAAACCACTTTATTTATAGATAAAAATGCGTTTTTTAAGTTGACTTAGACACGCTTTAGTATTTTTTTCTTCTGGAACGCAATTGACTCTTAGCAAAAAAAAGTTGAAGTAAAATTTCATTGTCATTTTAAATTAAAATTGTAAAGACATGGTAGGTGAAAATTTTTATTTTAGTTCTTCTTAATAAACTAGTGATTTCAGAAAACAACACGTCCTATCGACAAAGACCTTTTAACGGAACTTTATACTTGATATTGACACTGCTTCAAAGTTGTAAATTGCTATTTTCACTCCGACTGGTTTGTACATAATAATTTTCGTGAAAGTACTCGTCTTATAAATAGTGTCAAGTCATTGTATTTTAAACAAATTTCTCTTAAGTTGTACAACCAAGAAATAAATTATTGCGATACCCGTTTGTGATAAAGGATATTTAAAAATAAATATGAAAATATCAATTCTCGCCAATAAAGCAAAATCGATCTTACAGTGTCGAGAAAAAAACCGTTAAAAATGTCAAGGTCTATTCTTGAAGCCGGATATGCTGGAAAAATTTTCCCCGTTCCTTTCACGAAATTTTTGGCAACTGATATATTCCACCTCACATTCCCCTTGGACTCGATTTATACAAACTCGCCCTTCTCCGACTGGCGACACTAACTTTCGTTTAAGCAGTCACCGGTTTCTCGACCTTTCGACGCACGATGTGTAAGATAAAAATAAAGACAGAAACGAAAAGAGCAGCTCTTTTACGTATCGTAATGTCCGATCTCTTTCGGTCACGCAGGAAATCGTGACTGCTTTCCCCATCAGAATCAGCTTTTTCGTTCAATCTCATTGTCGATCAAGAGAGCATTTTGACAAGCACAATAATGTTCGGAAATTTAGAGTTTTCACTCGCAAAACCACTTAAACATTGGCAAGAAATTATACGAAAGAGTTCATATGTAGTACTTTTGTTTTTCATACATACAGAGGTTGATTTAGCGACACAAAAGTCGTTCACGCCTACCAGCTAATGTGAACAGTCATCACGAATGCACTCGCGAGCACTACCATATTAAAAAGCAAACAATAAAAGCCCGGAAAAAGTTTATTAACTTGCCGGGAAAAAAGGACACGAAAAATCTCGCTTGGCTCCTTTTTCTATCGCTCGTCGAAGTTCAACTGGCTGAGAAATAACTGGCCGCGCGGCGCGCTATGCTACAAGAAGAACGTTGAGTATATCCGTGCGCGAGGCGTGAACGAAGAAGAAAGTGTTCCGGCCGGGGAAATTATCTACACCATTGTGTATAGTATATATAGAGAGTGGTGCCAAGCGCTTGCCATTTGCTCATAGTGAAATTGGCAGATTTAATTGCGCAATTTGAAAAAAAAAATGGAGAAGATTATTAAACTATTCGGGTGAAAACATATCACAGCGAAGTGAAGCTTCCATTACATCACGAGCGTGCAATTAAATATTCTCTTGGAAAATTCTTTGAATGAGTCATGGAGTGAGCGACCTATCAATATATATTTGATCGATTAACACCATACTTTTGAAAGAGAACTGTCGATAGGAAATTTATTGTATTTTCCGCGTTTTTCTCAATTGTCACTGATTTATAAAAATTTTTTATGTGAGACCGCGATGCACACGTATTGCATTAGATCTTCGTTGCTGCTTATGGGAGTAGGAAAGACTTAATACTTTCTCCTATCGCGACGAAATTTCATTTGGGTGAGTCCTCTACCAAGGATATTCTCTCGCGAGTGATGCTTTCTTCGATAGCTACGTATCGATTGTACTATTTTCGTAGAAGAATCACGGCTCTGCAAATTTTGTTAGTGTAAAATATCGTAGTTTTATCTGGATTGTGTATAATATAGTTATACAAATTTATAGTACTGAAACTGCTTCTACGCTTGTTTTCATTAAATGCGATCGAAACTATCCATTAGCATATATACACGTAACTTAGCCAAGAATAATAAAACAGTGAAAGAAGGAAGACATAAAGGGCCACCATAAAAGAATATAAGCCAATTTATCACACGTCATAACATTTTATCATGAAGTAACCAGTTATAACAAACACTCGTAGTCATACATTAACCTGATACGATCTACTCTGGTGATTACCTAAAAAAAAAAACAAGAAAATTAGCACAGATTTTCGTACATGATTTTGGCTGTCAGATGCATAAGCGCCTGCGATTTGCGCAACCGGCTCTACGTGAACGCCTGCCACGCGCCCGAACAGTACGTATTCCAAGGAGTATCTGTGTTGGACGTCGTCAAGTGTTTTTACGCGGCAGACAATGACAAATCGCTTTTGTAACATGCTCAGTCGCAAGACTGTTTTATTGTTTGATCTTTTGTTTGTTGACGGACATCAAGTGTCGCATCTTTTTGTTCCGCTGGGATTAGAATTAATTTGAATTTTTATGACTGTGTGGAAACGAATTTGTAAAGTCTTAGTTACTGTAAATTGTGTTTGGTTATACTGTGAGATTTATTGAAGATCCGTAGATATATTTTTTTGTCTCGTGTCTCACAAAATTTTGACTTTACTACTTACATCTGTAGCTTGCATTAGGTGGCCGTAAAACTATTTTCAATTTATGATTTGTCGTATTTCGACAAGCTTGGATATTAAAAATTGAATTTCTATACAATTATATGCATTTTATTCTCAAGCCATATTCTTAGTTGCCTAGCAAATTTCATAATACTACGAGTGGCCGCGAAATTATGACAATATTTTGCATCATCGCAAAATATAACGATAAATCAAATCTCGAGTTTCGATAAACATTATCGTAGGCGCTTGAAAAAACTAGAGTAATCAACCTCATCCAGAATGTCATTGCTTAAGTCACTTAATCATAGGCTGTAACTTTTGTTGATCCTAGGCAACGCAATATTGGCATAATCCACACAGACGCTTTAGAAACGATGCGCTCTTGACATTCTGGAACACGGTGATCAACTCGGAAGGGCTGTGAGTCTACGTTATAGATTGAATTTACGAAATAAGTTTTTTATGTATCGTTCAATTTACGAGAAGTTTGTCGTAAATTTTTATTGAAAACATAATGAGTTGGTCGTTTAGTGTGAATGCGGTGTAAAAATTATTTGCACATGTAACTGCGCACATTCACTTTGTATGAAAAAAAAACTGTGAATAATCTTGATAAATCAATCAATTTGATGGTATAAAAAAAGTAAATGTAAGTTTTTTTGCAAAATCAATAAACCTTGCAAAAATGGAGTATCTTGCAAAAATGTCAGCATATTGCAAAAAGTTAGCATATCTTACGTTCACCTTTTCATTTTAATTAACAGTATAATTATTATTTTGTACGCCTTTGATAAACAAAAATGCCGAAACAAAAATGTAGTCTCTCCTTGGATTTCCCATGATTACATCGATAATTGACTACAAATGTCATGCACCTGATCAAAATAAAATTTGTCGGCATACAAGGCATATAAAAGCAACTCATATTTCACATGCCAAGAAAACTATTTCAGTGCAAACTATGCAGTGCTATGTTTTTACTTGTCAATCGTTAATGACCTGGCTTGTATAACTTTTGCAGAGCGGAAGTTTATTTCATAGTTACCTCAGAACAAATGTGTAGCGTCGTCATCCTGGCGACGCTGCCGCATGTCATAATCAACACGCACTTGATTTATAACTCGTTAACAAATTGCTTGACGATATTTTTTGCATCCGTGATAAAAAAACCGTCAACTATTTCAGCGGTAAACTTTTTACTCGAAGTTTACACTGCAATAAATAATCATTATCTAAATATCGAAACAACTGAAATGTCGTTTATTATACCAGGAAGAACGTTCATTAGTGAATTCAACCCAAACAGCGAATGTATGCGAACATTGATGAAGATGATGGTTACAATGTGACTCATGAGAAGATTTATTAAAATTAATAAAAATTTAACGATCGGTCAGTAATAGTTTATCTAGTCATCAAGGAAATAAGTTTTGTAACAAGGGATCAAAACTTATGAAAGACCGTTTTACATATAATAAATGGAATAAATAAAAACATATTACTAATTGTATTGTATACCACAGTAATAATTAAAAGCTGAGGAAATGTTTCTACAAAAAAAAATCAAAAAGAAAAAGATTTCTATGCAGTCACATTATTACATAAATTATATTATACATATTACACAGTTTCCTGTACTATCAAGCTTGTGATCACGTTAATTATATTTTTTATATTTGTAATCACATTTCATGTTCGATTCTGTATTAATAAGAAAATAAAAATCTTAAAATAAATCCACATGGGCATAGTACGTTAACTTCAAGAAATGTAAACTGCTGAAGGAAGATAGTTCTGGACTAATTAAAACGTGTAAACATTTATATTTTAGGGTTGATAAATCTTCATCTTATTCAAAATTTAGTGATAATTATTGAGCAAAAGTTTTTAAGATGTAATTTCATATTTAACCAGGTAAAAACAACATCCGGTAAGAAAGTTGAAAATGTCCAGAACTAGAACAGGATTCTTGCACGCCAACAGAAAAAATATTGAACCAAGCAAATATTATAGTTTTCTCGTATTATCCAAGTGTGTGAACTTTCATAACATCAATTCTTAACACGCAACCGATTTCGCGATCAATGACTTATATTGTTATATTACAATTTCATACGAACGATAATTCAGAAGTGCCACTTTTCTCGACGCGATGAGTGTTACCAAACGGTTGTATGCACTTTACGATCAGTATTGTATCAATATTTGAGCAAAGTAAACGGCTTTATATGGTTGCGCTTTTACTAACCATCGTCGTGTTTACACGACGACGGTTTTGTTTGAATTGTTTTAGTCGAAATATTCATTAGTACATACATGGTTTAGTGATTTCTCTGCGTCTGGATTCTATATCTATGTCTCATCAGAAACGAAATGAAAAATCCATCAGAATCAAAAATTATGTTTTTTACTCGAATGGAGATTTCGACTTTTCTTTTACGTGTGATTGATAGATTAAAGGTAAACGATGGTGTGATTGCAACATTATTACGAAGTCGGCTCTGTCGGATTGAGTATAGGTATATGCAGGCACAACGAAGTATGACTTGCGAACAAGGAACCCTTGGAAGAAATAATTTCACATGCAATAACTCCCGATCATTACAAAGTTCTAATGATGAATGATCTTGTGGAAGAGGTGAAAAGAGCTCGCGTGCGATCTGGCGTCTATACATTACATCAGATATTAATTTTGCATTGCACTTATGACAATCAATAAAATTTCCTAATAATTTATGTATAGACAAATATGTGTTGTCACAGCCATACGAAAACATTTCAATTGCTTCAGTTATCATGTCAAAAAAGAAAATGAAAATCCCCGAGAATAAATGGAATACTTTCTTATAGAATTCGATGACAAATTAATAAAAATTTTAAGAATAAAAGTTAGTTATAGAATTTGTCACTATAATTTAATCTAATAGGTATACTTGGCAACGGATATGAAGGTGTCTATATTTTACGAGCGCACAACCTTAATTACATTCACGCTCGAACTCAAGCGAAAGTGAAAACGCTTTTGCTCTGCTCGACATCGCTAGAATTTTTATTATGGTGCGAGATTTACGTATAGTTTCGAGGATCTCTTCGTTGTCTCTCTACGTGATCTCCAGATCCGAAACCAGTATTCGACTGTTCAGTTTAGAGTACGTTTCTCTTGTGAAAGTTGTCGGAGAGATTTTTTATGCAGCTATGAAGAATATTTTTAATGAAAGAATACGTTCGACAATTATGTTGTCAAAACCTTGCCATTCTTATATGCATTTACGATTGTTAAAGCGAAATTTCATCTACTACTCAAGTTAACAAATTAAGTTTCTCACTTTTTCTCAGAAGAATTAAACTAGATCTAAATAATAAAAAAAAAACATAGAATACTGGATTTCAGTAATTATGTAATTACTGTAATCTCTGATGTAATATTCATCTGTATTGATACCAACAAAAACGCCAAAAAAGGTAAATGCTTAATTACACATAATTGCATTATCGATTTTTATCTTGTGGTTGGTTAATTATTATAGCAGGAAAGTTTTCAATGTGAAATCAATGGCATCGCGGTTGAAACAGTATCAGGAGACATTATGAAATTGCTTTACTTGATTATAAATGACGGTGGAAAACCAAGTGAGACTCCGATATGCTAAAGCTCATACGTGATTTATAGAGTAAGTATGAGTATTGAAAGGCTTGTTGGTAGGAGTGTAACTGTGTAAAGACTGCAGGTTCATATAGTGGAATGGCGATCGACAAACAATGTTATCAAGAGTTTACATTTGTGGAGAAATTCAATCTGAAAGAAACATGGAGTCTCGGTGAGGAGTTTTAGTATTTCGGTAACTGTAGTTATTCGAGGAGTTTTTCTTTTTGTGTTAGTTTTTTAATGAATATTTCTCTTTGGGTTGTGTAGCGCAGTTCCAGCTGACGATATGGTCAATATCTCGTAATGTAAATCCGCAATTGCACGAAGATGTTATGAGGTTTTTTCTGTGGAGACTGGTTGTCAACGAGTAGTAATTATTATTATGAAATTGTATGCAGCGCACGCGTAAGATTTATCATGTTGACTATGCGAGAGCGCGATAGAGATTCGTATCTTTTACTTATGTTTGCATTTTTTTAAGAATGAGAACCCAGTGAAATTGGAAGTATTTATGCATAGTAAAGTTTTGCAACTGGTTCTATATAGTAGCGATACGTTTCGTTCGCAAGTACTAGTATAGCAATGAAGCATAAGAATCAAATGCTCGAACACGAGAAAGTTGGAAGAAAAAAAAGTCGATTATAATTGTAGGTCATCGATCGATTACGTTCAATGTCAATCAAATCGGCTACACCAGCCTTCAATTTTTTTCATTTGTTACAGAGTAACTTCCGCATTGCAGAGTACACACATGAAAGTCAAGGAAGCCGTCTTTTCCGCTTGACATTACACGACTTATACGGTACTCTAACCTCATATTTTTACGGATCATTGCTTTCACGGTTTCTAGAACGAAATGTGCTGTTGCATTATGTAAAATCAAAGTTAATCTCACATAAATGTTATACTTTTTTTATGTTTTATAAAAATGACGTAAATAATTGCGTTGAGCGTATGACGCTTGCGCAAGATTAATATATTTTATAGAGTTGGCAAAAAAACAGTATTTTATATGTATACTAGTAGCCGGTTTCCGTATCTGATTATTTTAGATAATTTTTACGTACTTACTTAATTTCCTACTGAAATACTTTATAATGGGGTTTTCCACATCGCTATCTTGTCGGAAAAATAATTGGTTCCTAGTTTATTTCTATACCTCATTATCGTTTAAACGAATAATTTTGTAAAAAATTACATTAAAAAATAAATATACTTCATATTTATTTTAAACCTATCTCTTAATCTAATGACAGTACCCAATTAATTGATAAGTATTTATAATGTTTATAAAAACTATTTTTTGTATATTATACATTTCTTTTCATGCACTCACAGTGCTGACTGTATACAAAAAATATAGGTTAAAGTTCGCATCCGGCCTTCAAAAAAAATTATTTTTCATATCACTCTCAAAAACAAAAAACATTGGACTATTTGACACGAATGTTTTGATAAGAATCTTGTTTGTATGGTTTAGGTGGACCGTGGTACCTGGACGGTGGTGGTGGACCATATTTCTGAGGTGGTGGACCATATCCATAGCCATGATCGTGCGACGATGATCCCCCTGAAGATTGCTCCGAGGATGCACCCGAGGAAGCAGTCGAGGCACCTAATACTGCGGTAAACAAATTCACTCCACTTGCCAAGATATCCTTTAATGCTTTTCCAAGTAATTCAAAGGGATTCACTTTAGCCGCTTGTACCTAGTGGTAGAAACGTAATATTAAATTCCCCTATGGTATGAAAGTTGAAAAATCATTGAGATAAAATCCTACTCCATATGGGGCGTATCCATAATGAGCTGGCTCAGCGATTTGTTCTTTCTGTACTATCGCTGGTGGAATAATGGGAAGTTGCTCGGAAGGAAATTGAGGAATTTCCATTATCTCTACCTGTGTAGCTTGTGGTCGGAACTGTGCGAGTTCTGGCCGGTAATGAGAATTAACTGTTGACGACGAGGATATCTTTTTTTTCTGGGTCGATGGTCGACTTGTTGATCTGCTCGGATGTCTCGTTCGTGAAGGTGGTCGTAAGAATTGATTTGTCGGTGGTTCGAACATTTCGACTTGTTGAGCTGCTGGTGGTCCATAAGCTGCTGGAGGTCCTTCGCCATACCCCTCTTGACTTTTGCTGTCACTAGAAGTTTTACTAGAACCCCCGCTTAAACCAGCACTTGTTCCTGATAGGACACCTGTTACTAATTGGCCAACTAAGGCACCGATGTCAACGCCTGAATTAGGCGCACTTAATTCCTTCACGGTGAATTTATAACAATTTTGAAGTCAAAATTAACAATTTTCATTAGCCACAAAAATATGCTTATTGACAAAGGACATTAAGATGACTGATAGAATCTAACTGATAATTATGAAAGTATTTTGAGTAAAAAGTATATTTTTTTAATTTAAATTGAATTTTATACGTACCTTGCTGAGAATGGAGACAATATTAGCGGTTACACTCGCAATAGGCGACTGACCACCCGGCTCTATTGGCTATGGAAATGTTATATTCATCATTAGAAAATATCTAAAAATTTATCCAAGTCGATCTTGCTTACCGTACTTAATGGTCCAAGTACAGCCGACAAAAGAGAGCCCAAATTCGAACCCTTTCCACCTCCCTTTAACACAATTTCAAATAATTAAATTATAATAAATTAATTTTCAAACTAATTTAAATTTCATACACCACTGCTCGATGAAGAAAGTGGACCACTCAGGGGCCCCGAGAGTGGTCCAATAAATGGTGCTATGAGTTGAATTAGAGGACCTAAAATAGCACCGCTGTCACTACCCATGCCGTCTTTGCCCTACAAAATTGATTCATATTTGTTTAATTGATCAATAAAACATTTTTTGATTAATAGAGTTTAATGAAATTCCACGTCCATGAAATAAAATTGCGTAAATCATACAAAATCAAATATAATAATATAAATTAGGTCACCTCAGATAAGTTTTGCAAAATTGGTAAGAGGACACCAACAATGTCGACTCCCTCACCCGTTTCAGGATCTGGCTACATGATACGGAAATTCCCCGAAAAATCATTATTCCGTTTTAAAGAATATTAAGTTACTCAACTGTATTTATTATGCACGTGTGGCTTACCTCAGAAAGTCCTTGAAGTAAAGGGACAGCTGCTTGCAAAAATTCCACCAAATCGGTTTCAGATTCCGGCTACAAAAAGTGAAGAAAAAAGCCCATAACCTATTATATAATATTGATGAGAAAAAAGTGTTTTGATGTCATAGACTAACGTTATGTATTAAATGAGAGAAAGGCGTTGGTAATATGTGTTGAGAAAAATTTAAAGAGTCGAACGCAATAGCGGAATTATATGGAACGAAATTTTTCGAGCGGAGAAAGTTATCAAGATGACACTTACGTCACTAATATCCTCGAGAATCGGGATAATTAGAGGAATCAGATCTTCCAATGAACCTAAAGATCCGCCGCCTTCATCCTGTCATTAAAGTGTTCATAGAGTATAACCTTTTTTTTATTTCAAATAATTATTAAATATTTCAAATGTTTAAATTTAAGCTTTTGATTATATCATAATCATTGTCATGGTTGGTAAAGTAATAAAAATTCTTAATTTACTGAAAAATGTAAATTATTAGTTCACTTTTTAAATATTAATTACTCACATAATCATAATCGTCATTGAAACTATTGTCATCATCGTCATCAAATATATCACGTTCACCTCCGCCGTTACCACTATCGTCATCATCGCCATTGTCATCACCATCGCCATTATCATTGAATTCATCATCGTCATCTTCAATCTGCCTTTGAGATGTTTCATTCCTTTTTCCTCGCAAAGTGCCCTAAATTTTTAAGAATTATAAACATGTAGAAATATGCTATTTCACAATTTGTTTGCAGTTTCTTGTCTGCATAACTTAGATAAACATTTAAACAGCAGCCCGACTATCGTTTACGAGGTAATAAAGACTACGATAAGTGTCTCTCTATGTGTACAAACGCCGTAAAGCCCGCACGAAACTGGCAAGCGTAAAAACAGATGACGGGGAGAAAAAAAACAGCGGACGCGTATGCTTCAAAATTTCTAATTGACGCAGCATCTCGTTACACCTTAGCGATGTTGCGTAATCGATCATAATGAACTTTCTAGGTGAGATATATCACTTGAGTAAGAGATCATCAGCCTCACTCGTGTGTGCCGCCAAGAATCCATGCATTATTAATGAATACGAAAAAGCACGCGCTCGCTTTCATTATCGGTCACTGCAACTGTGAATTGAACGACACCACGGGTCATCGCATAAAGAGGCTAACGAGATTCCATAATAAGCATTTACGGTTGAATAGCAAAAAGCAGAAAACTGACAAGTAAAATTTCATGGATGACCACTTTGCTTTTGACGATTGCGTTGAGCTAGTTTTGCATAATTTTTTTCTTGCTTTAAAATGTAAGTTTCAAATGTGAATTATTTTCCTCATTAGTTTCACTTTCTGGTAAGATCTCACGTATGTAAGAAATTATGTCTTTTCAATTTTTTTTAAGTTTGATAAAACCTTCTGTAATTAATTAATTCAACATAAAATTTTAAATTGAGAAAATAAATTTTGAAGTATGAGTCAATATTTATACTGATTAATTTATCACTATTTAAAAAATTACTAAAAGCAAAAATATTAAAGGTGTTACCTTAACGACTTTTGGATTTGGTAACTTTTTACTTATTTTTCCAAAAACATTAGCTACATTCGGTATTGAGCTGTTTCTATTTGTTGTTAACGTAAGCATTCGCAACAATGATTGGAAAATTGTTGGTTGTTTTTTACTATCTGATTGCTTTTTACTCTTTTTCTTTTTCTTTTCAGATACAGTCTTCGAGGTTACGACTTCATCTTCAAATTGAATTGTCGTCTTACCTATAATTAGTAAATTACGAAGTACCAAAAAAAATACAAATATTTAGAATAGAAAGAAACATGTTTACTCGTATTTTTTCCATTTTTTGAGACTCTATTGCGATTGTTCGGCAGTAGCGTGTCTGGCACATCACTAGTAGATGCTTCGTGATGACTATCACGATTTTTGTTTCTATTTTTCTGAGAATATTTAGATGAAGTTAATTTCTGTGGTGACATCAATACTGGTACCAAAGTGGATGTCGGGCCGGGCGTTGAAGTCTCTCGTGTTATTGTAATATAAGCTTCAAATGGTAAGCTTATAACAGGCCTGTGAGGAGAGAGAGGTATATCGTGGCTTTGTTGTTTATAAGCCTGATTGCCGGAATTCAAATCGCCAATTTCTGTTCTAGTTGTTTGAGGCATATGCACTGGTGGCATATGTTGGAAGTTTGTCCTCATTGGCACTAACTGCATTGCACCTAATGAATTCACCATACCTTAATAAAAAATATTTTTAACAAATTATAAAATGTTTGAATTATTGTATATTGTATATTTAAAGTTTATTTATTTTTACCCGAAAATGGATTACTATGATTTCGCATGTTTGCCATATCATAGAATTCTTTTAGCCTATCTTCATTATAGCCAGGTGTAACTGGTAAAGGTAAATAAGCATTTTGATGATGAATATTGAAAGGTGGGAATACATTAGGATCTCGAAAAATCTTATTATCTGGATGATCATATGGATTGATTAAGGCCAATTCTTGAATGAACTTTGATAAAGGACTATAAGATGTTTGAGCATCTGACATCAATTTGGAGTATAAATTTTCAACATTGTTTGGTGAAATTGGAGGTGGTGTCAGAAAGTCATACTTCTGATTTTGAAGATTAGCGCTATTGTCAATAGCCTTTTCAGTCGTAGATGTTAGCTTTTCTAACTGTTTTTCCAAATGCTTACACATGGGTCCGTGCTACAATACAAACTTGTCAACTTACATAATCTAAGTGGAACATTTTAAGAAAATTGTCTTAAATTACCTTGGAACTCATAGCTACGGTTTTCATTTTTTCCTTTTCTACAACTTTCTTTTCGCCATTATTCATCTTCTCAAGCAAATGATTAATCGCTTCAGATGAGTTCCGCAATTTTTCTATTTTTTCTGGTGGGGTTTGCATCGGGTCTGCGTCGGCCAAAGTTATGTTAATTTTCGAAGCCATCAATCTCATAGCATAAGTAACCCATGTAATAAGTTCTTCCCTAGACATAATTTTGTACGGTAGAGTCACCTCAACTTTGTCCGAATGGGTCGCTCCAACTTCCACCTTTGTTGTGTCATTGTGAACTACTTTGTCAGGAATTAATTCCAATTTTGTTGCAGGCAATGGTGTAGTGTATCCAATGCATAAGAAAATTATGAAAATACGTTTCACCATTTTGCATACCTAAATAGAAATATCATTTTAAGAAGAGCTGAGATCTTGAGTTACTTTTATAATATACTGCGTGTTAAGTAAATATTTTTAATGAAATGAACTTTTAACGCGCGTTATAAATTATTGAAATTACGCAGCCTTATTAGCAAAATATCAAATACTATATGATGAGATTATAATATAAGTGAAAGTGAATCAATTTTGCTTCGTGAATAAAAAACCTATAAGCAACTCGAATATGTATGAGACGTAATCGCCAGATTGCAAAAGATTGCATTTGTTTAAAAAAAAGAAAAAAGGCAACAGTTAGAAACAAAAGGCTTGGAAAGTTTCGACACATGCAATGAGTACGTGCCTACCTAGTAAGACCAATTACCATCCGATCTGCAAGCGATACCAAAGTCATTCATCACTTTTCTTTTCGAATCGCTGGTGATTTTTCATGCATGTACTAAAAATATTGCCAATGACATTTCGTGCAATTTTGATGAATTAGTTACCGAGGCTTGAAAATTGTATTCGAGAATGTGCTTCAAAAACTTTCGCAATAACTGATATAGCTTTGAAATGTTCGTCATATATGCGAGTAGTGGTTGCAGTCTCTATAAATTCCAAAGTGCAATTGCTCGTCAAATATCGTTGATCACTCGGTTGATCATTATTTTGTCAATAAGATTAACGTATAGTAATTATCGGTGAAAAAATATAAAATGCAAATTGTGTTATGAAGAAAATAAACTGACTTATAATTAGTTTGTTTAATATAATAATTTTCAATTGATGAATATACATAATTTCAACAGATATTAAACATCTTTCGAGAAGAATACTTTTCAAGAGTACTGATCGCCTTACCTGTCGACATAGCATTCGCAACAATAAGTGCAACTTATTCCGAAACTTCACAAATGTCGCACAAAAATGCAAACTAGTCGCAAACACTAAAATATGCACCTTCGTGAAAAGTTTCAAAACTGCAAAAATACTGACAAACAAGCATCTCACGCAACTCGACACGGATACTCGAATAATTTAGTCACTCCATACTATAACACCGGAAACACCCTATATTAACTTCAATTCTTGCAAAATCAACCGTTAAAATACATGATAAGTCATTAAATTGCCAAAAAAAAGTAACGAAACTAAAGAAAAAAAGGAATTTTCGCCGTAGTAACACGCAAGCAATGACAGTTTTTTCAGTACTGAGCAAGTCTGCACGGAATTCCGCGAGTTTATAAAGCTATCTAGAGCCTATAGTCGTAATGCATTCTAAACAATGTGCAATTTTTTCCGTCTCTTTTCATATGGTTGGAATCGTAGGGAGGATCGGGTAAAAAAGAAGGCCCCTATTTTCCGCTCAATCGAGCTCGTGCACACTTTTCCTTATTAGACGGTGCGTAACATATTCACCACGGTGCGCTTCGCTCACTGTCTCTTTCGTTTCCGTCTACTGGCCTGCTCGTATGCCGTAGGTCATGAGAGTCTGATCGTATTCTTGGAAAATTAGGTTTCGCCGTCCAGTGCAATGTGATTTCAAAGTTATTATTCAAGAAAATCGAAAAATATGCATCAGTTATTACAGCGAAAGAAATAGAAAAACAATACGATTAATGAAGTTACATTAAGTCTTGTTAAATTTGATATCTTGTAAAAATTTATATAAGCACAAATAATATATAATAGTCACATTATTGACTAGCTCGCGGAAAGAAATCGGTGCTAATCGATATTCTCCGCATTATTAAGTGCGCTTGCGCAAGCCGAATTTCTTTTAGTAAAAAACATAAGTATAACAGTGATTATCGGAATTAATAGGTTTCACTAAAAATTAATCGCATCAAATAGATCGTTGAGTAACAAAGTTAAATACAAATTTGAAGTCGGAAATTAAGCGACAGGATCCTTTTAAATACTACATTTTTAAAGCACTATCGCGATGTACATCAAATCCATACGCACGGTTAAGACGTAATCTCGTTACGTTAAGATTTACGAGCTTGAGAACGTCCTTGCATTGTGTCTTGTATTTACTCTGCTCTTTTTGTTGCGGGTCAATGCCTTATCCCATAGAGTATATCAATGTACATTCCGTATATTATTTATAAGGTGATGCCGCGCGAGACAATGCCAAGATCATGATCAAACACTCGTGATCTTGACTTTGGATGCCCAGTTCTTCCTTTTCTTTTTGTTTTAGTATTGCAAATTTCGTTTTTGCATTGCAAATTGAAAAACAAAATAAACTTTTTCCCGGACATAAAAATAAATTGGTATTTTATGAAAATGAGTTTAAAAAACTCGACGCGACTGATCATCAGAACTGTGAATCAACTGAAACAACGTACAGCATAATTTATTTGTATGCTTAGTAATAGCCACATACACATCTAGAAGCTGAGTACCGCAGCGGAGGATGACCTACGAGCATCATGCATCTTTCGCATCACATCAAAGAGTAGCAAGAACGGCACTCTTCCGCGCGTGAGAGGCACCGTTATGCAACGCCATTATATTACAGTTATACAGGTTTATATATGCCGCATCGGCAAGTTTCACTTTTACGTCGTTGTCGAACGAACGACTCTATGCGCTGTCTTAAGTTATTTTCCTTTACGATGGTGGATCGATTACGATACGATTGGTAAATGCAATTATTCACTTTGACTTCCGATAGCAATTTTTCAGTTGATTTTTATCTTGTTATATGCAAATTGTAGATTTGCACTAAACTTGTTAGATAGATCGTTGTTTGAATACAGTGATAATTTGTGAGTCTTGAAAATTTGATTACAGGTAATACGAATCGCCACCATTTATCGTTGCTTATTTCGCAACTTTCTTGATAATAGAATATTCCTTGATTTTTGACCTTCAATATCATCCTGCAATTGAAAATAAAATCTTACAAGAGATATTTTTGATGGTTAACGTCATTGTAATATATTCACTAATTGGATTGATGTAAGAAGAAATGAAATGAAATTAACCCGGATTTCACGAAGTAGCTTGAGTAATGTCAACCTGTCATAGAATGTCCTTAATATTCTATGATTCTTTTTCCATGGAGCGCTGTACGCCATACGACGTGTCTGGCGTAAATATAAATTTCGCTTGCACGAAACAATTTATGCAGTAGAGATCGACACTTGTAGTCCTTCGTTTCTATTTTTGCTTTTTTAATACTGTCTTACTTGATCGATCATTTCTATTTCATTTCTTGTTATATAGCTATTCCAAACGACAAAATATTGCAATGATAAGAACCTTATAACTCAAATTATAATCGAAGTCAAAAATACCACTTTGATCGTGCAAGGTGGAGCGATCCCGATTACGACATATTAATGTGAGCGTATATGCATTAATATGTCAAAAACGGAAAAAAAGAGAAAGGCAGGACGATCGCCTTGGCTATTGCAAAACTCTTAAGGTTTTATAAAGTTTTGCATAGTCATTTGCATTAACACGCGGAATCTCGTTGAAAAGAAGAGAAAAAAAACGAAATCCACCGGCATCAAGTTTAATAATTTACACTTCGGTTGTTTTGTGATGGATAATTAATGCAATCTTGTTTCCAATTCTCATCTCTGAATGCTATTCGATAGTTTGAATTGTATAGTCTTTTTTCGCTTGGACCGTTCGTATCTGCAACAGAATTGTCTTTATTTCTTACATTAACAGCGACATCCCACGAGAAAATATAGTTTTCTAATTTATGTACTGAATTTGAAACAAAATTTGAAGCGTCAGTAAATCATTCCAAAACTATTCATAGCAAATAACAAGTAATAAATATAAAAAAAGAACGTTGTAAAGTCTCAAATTCGAAATCACGACATCAAAAGATCGTTGCCCTGGGATAAACGTGCGATCATTATTACTTATTAATATACAGACCTCGGCGAGGTCATTAGCCGCAAGTGAGTCGCGTGTGGCGGCACGCCGCTTGTAAGTGTCTCCGCCTGGTGAACACTTGGCAAATGACCATAGCGCAGCCAGTCGCAGTCCGTCATTCATTTTGCTTAACACTATCACTCTGTGTACAAACTTAACTTCATACTCGTATCCTGGTCGGTAAGATCGCGAGGTATAATAAGGACACTTATAATGTCTTACGGACAAGAGTCGTTGACCGAGTTTTTTTCCCCTTCAATGTATAATTATCGTTTGATTTCTTTGCGTAATTCTTGACAGTCCAAACTTCTCACAATTACAGTCTGATCAGAGGAAGAAAAAAAACCTCGAAAACATTTTGATTGTTATCGCAGTGAGAATTTTACAACGGAAACCATGAAAAATGCAACAGTTCTGGGCTGCTAACCATTGCGCTCTTACAAATTAAAAGCTGTTCGTGCGCAAGGTTAACAACATTTCGCCAAGCAGCGCGCGAAACAAAACAGAAAAAAACTTGCCTGCGGCGCCATCAAGAAAAATATTTTGTATAATTATCTGCGAGGCGTCGACAATTTTAAAGGAAAAATAAGCTGCAAAAGTCTCTTTGTCATTCAAATTTCCATTAATTGCCCTGCTTGCGGTAAAAGGTGCGAAAATGATTGTTCCTTTGGTTGCAGTGTGGGAGTAGGCGGCGGCAATTCGAAAGTAATCCGACGAAGTGATTCAGCGCACCGCTGCTGCAGTTATTTCTTGTTTTTTTTTTTTTTTTTATTATAAACCTTCTGGACCGAGATATAGATACGTTTGTCACTCGGAACGGTTACATTGCGGACGTGATATTAGCTAATGAAAGCTACTTCGAACATTCATCGAGCGCGCGCGAGGCACTTTCATGCGCAATGATCTCTGAAACAGAAAAACAAAATGGAAATTCAACTTTAATTTACTCTCACTCTGTGCGGTGATGCATTTTTTCCTTCTTATAATTATTCGTTATCACAATGAGGCGTTGCACGTTGAATTCTTTGGTCAGTTGCATCATGAACGTATCCTTTTTCGGGAAGTGGCGAAGAAATGGCCACGGATTAAATAATAATCCGTTA